ATCTGCAATAAAGAAAGACACACTTGACCACCTCAAAACTGATGGTTTTTGACAAAGTTTTCCAGCACTGAAGATGACGATTTTCAGGGTTTTTCAGGCTTTGAAGCTTGAAATCGAAAAAGTCAACTTTAGACGTTACATTCAGAATGATCCAAAAAATCTTGTTCAGAGCGAAAAAACCTTTTTTACTTCCCACGCCTACTGGCCGTATTGTAATCGCGAAAAAAGTTTCGAAAATGAGATATTACGATTTTTGGATGTGAAAAAGCTATGTGCATAACGAGAAACCATGTCACTCATTTTCGTGTCCGCTAATCCTATAACCGCCTATAACTTGAGAAATGCCCCTCGAGTTTTCATGAAATTTTTACACGTTACTACTATGCAAAGGACGAAAGTTTCCAAAAATCAGTTCAGTGGCGGCGAAGAAAAGGCCGAAACTGAAACCAAAAATTGGTCAAACTTTTTTTGGTGTTTCAGAGGATCCTTATCGTTTTTTAAAACATTTTTAGATGTAAAAAATTTAGGGGTGGGGGTTGTAGGGGGTGGGAAGAGTATATCTCAAGTTTTTGATGCTAGTATATTTATAACGCGACCTACCGGCCGCGTCTGCTTCGGCATAGTGTTTCTTCCTAGGCTAATTGTATGGACCTGTTTGACTAACTTTTTCCTCAGGCGGTCTACTTTGTGCTGAACATGATCCTTTATGTACTGATAACGGCGTTGTCTGGGAAGTGCAGACTACCACTTGACGCCATTTTTTGCAATTGGTTGAAAATACAACAAATTTACACCTGGAAACCTTTTGTTTAATGTCAAAGCGCATCCAACATACGTGACTACGAAACAAAATCCAATTGGACAAATTCTCCCTCGAATACGAGGTGTTCGCCCTGCCTAAAAAGCCGTTTATGTGCCGTCACTGAGCGACTGGTTCGCAGGTCTCAGGTAAAATCGCCTACGCCTGCTCGACAGGAATGTGCTTTGGCTCCCTACTAACTTGACGGCCTTGGTCAACCACCGGACAACGTCAAGGGCGTGCCTAGGACATTTGCTAAGAGGTCTGATGGTACATACAGTAATAGAGTGGAATATGCCTAAAAATCAAACAGGCATTGACTAAAAAAAATTTTCGTCAAGTAGTATGGCTCGATACTTCCTACGCCTTCGTGGGAGAGGTTTCCAAGAAAAGTCAAATCGTTTCAAAAGGCGAAATCGAATCGTGATTAGGTAGGTTCACGTAGGTACGATAAATTATTATTATTATTATTATGATAATTGAGATGAGCAGAGTACACAGTACTATAAGCTCATGCAGTGAATATAGTGTACGGACACGTAACACAAATACATCAAATAGAAAAAAATAAAAAAATACAGTTCATAGCTATAAAATTTGTACACTCCTCCAGCTATCATACTGCACTTTGAAGCTATTAACTGAAGTAGCACCAACCACACTTTCAGGTAAACTATTCCAGGTGTTGAATATGCGGTTGGGAAGAAACCACTGTCGGACTGTTGTTTTAAATGGCTCCTTATGCAGTTTGAGGCTGTGTCCGCGTAGATTGCTGCGCGACAGATGGTATAGATGCATGAGGTTGGTGCCCATCAAACCATGAAGTATCCTGAACGTAACTATAAGATCGCCACGAAGTCTTCGCTCAGAGAATGAGGTCAGGTTGAATAATTCAAGGCGATCTTCATAGCTTGGTCTTCGTGCTCCAAAAGGGATACGAGTAGCCCGACGCTGTACTGATTCGACGAGATTTCTATCGCGCAGAAGCACAGTGTCCCATACCGGGCCAACGAATTCAAGAATTGGTCTCACGAATGCCTTGTAAATGTAGGCGCAAGTGTTGACATCGGATCCTTTGAAAGACCTCTCCAGCATATATAGAAGTTTCTTGGCTTTTGATGTAACGTGGTGAATATGCTCTGACCAGGAAAGACGATCGTTGACTACAACGCCCAGATCAGTGTGGCTCGAAACTGCTTCGATGTTGTGGTCAGAGATCTTGTATGTAAATCGCGGATTTGTCTTCCCGAGGTGAAGGACACAACACTTAGTTAGATGTAAGAGTAAAAGCCAACTGACTGACCATTGACAAACAATATCAAGATCTCGTTGAAGCATAGCAGAATTTACGACAGTATTGTAAATCTTGGTGTCGTCGGCATAAGCTGAACATGTGGAGGAAATCAATGCGGGCAGGTCACTTGTATACAGAAGGAACAGCACTGGCCCCAAGACAGAGCCTTGAGGAACTCCACTTGCTACATGATGAAGGTGAGACTGGCTATCACTGACGCGCACAGAGAAAGTCCTCCCGGTGAGAAAAGCCTTAATCCACAGTAACAACTCGCCTCTTATTCCCATACTTTCCAACTTAACAGAAGCCTTCTATGTGGTACGCGATCGAAAGCCCTAGAAAAATCTAAGTAGATTATATCAACAGGAGTCTTTGTGTCCAGATACTGAGTCCAATCGTTGAGAGAGTGGAGAAGGTTGGTCATTATTGATCGACCAGGGAGAAATCCATGCTGATTCTTAGGGATAAGGTCATTTTCGAAAGCAAATGACTGGAGCTTATCTAATATGATTCTTTCAGCTATTTTGGCGGCGATAGGAACGAGACTTATTGGTCGATAATTTTTAGCGGAGGATTTGTCGCCCTTTTTGAATACAGGGGTAACAGAAGCACTAAGCCAGCATGAGGGTAGGGTATGGGATCTAAAAGACGATGTGAATATCAAGCTTAATGGTAGGGCCAGTGCTGAAGCGCAGTTTTTAAGTACCTCTGCGTGCAATCAAACTATATAAATCAAATCTATTGTAATTCTGATCCATTGTAGATGTAGATAGAGAGAATCACGTCTTAATAACACTGACACCAGATTTGCAACAATTTACAACCATACAGCTTCCAACCTACGATTTTCATCCCATCCAAACTATGTCTGAAAATAATCAGGAATATCTGAAACGTTGTAAGACTAGTGATTATATTTCCGCCAAATCTACGACTACCTAAGCGATGGAAGTTCGTGTTCGAAATATTCAGAGAACCATCATGGATGGAGTAACACAAATTAAAGTTTAGGCGAAATGGGTGGTACTTTTGGAATCATGAAATTCAGAAAAATATATGTGTAGATATAAAAACAGTTAAGTCATCATTTACACAAGCATTGCAGAACGGAAAGTAGTGCATACTACTAATATTCAAAGATTGCTAAGATATATAAATATTTCTCCTGTAGCGGTGTGTTAGCGACGGCACCACCGCAGACCAACTGGAGTTTGTTAGCCATTGCACAGTGGGCAGTGGCATCCACGGCGATGCAGCATCCACCATGCACGCAACGCCAACGATTGCAAACTTATTTAGAATTATGAGCGCATTATACATCGGTCTTTTATTATTTAATTTTCTCGTTGTTACCGAGACCAGAAGCTTCTGAATGATAGAACGTCTTTGGCTAATACTAAAGACGTTACATTTAAGACTCCCTACAAAAATTTTCCGAATTTTTCTCTTAAACGTCAAAGTTTATTTTTGTTTCTATCCTATTTTTTCCTAGCTCCGCCACCACTCGACTTATCTTCAAAAAGAAAGCTTTTTCATCCCTGGCAAGTTAGTAACCTTGTGTGAACATTTCACCAAAATCCGAGCGGTAATTCTCAAGTTATAAGTGGTTATAAAATTACCAGACAAACCGACAGAATGAGTGACATGGTTTTGACATGTCAATTTCGCCATTCCAATACTTCCTCCTCCATAAAACAAAAAATATTAAAACCTCGGAACCTGATTCCACTAAATTCCACAATAGTATTGTTAAAAGTTTAAATAAAAAGGTACCCCCATTAAAATTGAACGCTCACCCTTACGACAACTGTTCACAACAATTAATAATAGAGAAAAAAATGAAGAAAAACAGTGGCAAGTTCAGGAGCATGTATAAAGTAGGTAAAAAAATATTGCGGAAAGTTCATATAAACATGGGTCCCAAAATGCCCCCTTACCAACATACTTATAACTTCGAAATCGAAATAAATTATATCTCCAGATTTTTTTATACCAAGGCAGTGAATGTGTTTGAAATTATTATTAGTTTTTTTTTATTTAGATTTTTAATTATTCCTAATGTACTGTTCTTGTTTTTATACCGAAGTAGCCAGATAGGCAGAAGCCTAAATACCAGAGCACCGCGGCTGCTATGAGGAGCTTAAAGAAACTTTGTTGATTCGATTTCAACTGCCTATAGTGGAACTGGAAACAGCTTCCTCAGGTAGATTGTTCCATATCCTCGATGCCCTAGGGAGAAAAGAACGATCTGGATGTACGACGTTTGACACTGCGAGGATGGTTAGCATGGGAGGACGAACTCAGGCGGGTCTGTTTGACAGACCCGTTGACATAGAGATAAAATCGAGCTAGATCGCCGACGAACCGTCAATCCGAAAGGATCCCGAGGAGAGCTGCCCGACTGATCGATGACTCTTCTCTAACAGACAATCTCGGGACCCTTTCGCACCGGCGGGCCGTGGGCGGTCTAGCTCTCTTTTACCGCTACACCGATTGGGCTTTGCTCTTCAGATAGTTATCCTCCAGGATGCCGCCGCACGATGTGCCTGCCAAACATATCAACCTGACTTCGGCCTCCCACCCTATCCGTGTCGAACTTCATACATCCAGAACTGGTCGATACGACCGCTCCTTTGTCCCGAGATTGTAGAACAATCTACAAGAGGACGCTTTTCCAGTTCTACTAACCTTAGGCAATTCAAAAATCGAATTAACAAAATTTCTTTAGGATCCTCATAGCAGCCACGATGTCCTGGTATTAAGGCTTCTGCCTGCGCGGCTGCTTCGGTGTAAAAAAAATATGACTAGGATATTAAATTGACCAGCCAGACGGTTATCGACTCTGGACACATTTTTTCATCATAACTTACGAGGTTGCATTTAGCTTTGAAAAAAAAACACAAACAATTTAAAAAATAACTATATTTTCTGGTTGAAATATAGTGAAATACATATGTAATACTAACACAGGAATGGAACTTAAAATTTAAGATCGGCTTATACACCGTCTAAACATTAAATAAATCACAAATAGGGTTTTAAAACCAAGCTTCAAAAAAAAATAAAAAACAACTCTCTTGTAGTCGAACTACAAGTTTAGATAGAATTACTTAAATTTAAAACTAAAAATTTATTTTATAAAGGCTTTCAATATACCTTAAGGCTACTCAGTACAATGAAAAATTAGATTATATCTAACTTTTCTGGAAGTTATTCAGCTTATAATGACAATCTTCATCATAAGTGGAGTCCTGCTGGTTAAAAGGAGGCCTTGTTCTAATGCCGATTGTGGTCAGACGTTTATTTGGGTCTTTACAGAGCATGCTTTGCAATAACGTATGCTGAAACAAAACAATTGTTATCATCTCGTATTTTTTGCCAAGAAAACACACTGTCGTACTTGTAAACGTATGCTACCAAAGCTCTGTTTAATTTTTTTACTCTACATCAACACACTTGTTCAATAGGTGTTCCAGTAAAAATTATGTCCAGCTGCTGAAAACCAGTTCTTCACGGCAGATATCACGAGATTTTTTTTTGGTAATGTTGTTTTTTTTAATTTGAAAATATTCAAACACTAGTTTTCTGCTCCGCAGTTTTGCTGGCAAAATGTATAGGTGGCGACACTAATAATGTAATTAAATTTCCCAAGCATGCAAGTTGGTTGCTAAATTACTAATGCCATACTTGTGTTTACATTGCCTTGCCTCTACATTTTTCAGTTATTACTTTATAACTATATACATATATAAAAATAAATCCCTATTTCCCGTGGTCACGCCATAAGTTGAGAACGACTATACCGATTTCAATCATCTTTTTTTTTAAGTTTCCTGATGCTGTAGAGAAGGCTCTTAAATTTTTTTTAAATTGCATTACTAACCTCGTCAGCAAATTTTTCGATAAAGTCACTAGGATATTTATTTTCCTTGGCATCGGTCAACTTTTTGACCCTTTCCATTTCCGTACTAAATGGAATCAATAGCTCCAAGAAAATCAAGCCCAACGAGTATATATCCACTTTGTAATCATATATACGGCTACGAAATTGTTCAGGGCTCATGTATAGTTGGGTACCTGCAAAAACGCACTAATTAGTTTGTGATTATTTTAAATGAAATAGTATATCTAAGACTCACCAACTTCTTTGGTATGCCCAGGTAATGGCGGGGTTCCATTCTTATTGAATTCTAAATCAAATACGTCTTCCATATCTTTGACCAAACCAAAATCACCAACTTTGATTTGACCTTCCAAAGAGAAGAAAATATTGCTTGGCTAAAAAATAAATAAATGAAGTATTTGGGAATAAGATGACCACCAGAAAACGTTGAAAAATTCCCAAAGGCGCTAGACATTACTTTTTCTTTTTGTCTTACCTTCAAGTCTCTATGTATGAGGCCCCTGAGATGTATATATTGAACAGCATCCAATATTTGGGAAAAAATATCTATTACAAACTTATAGTCCCGTTTATAGTTTGAGGTGAGCCATTCCTTGAGACTTTCTTTTTTGCACAACTGCATCTGGATGTAGAGATACCATGACGATTCTTCGCTTGGCCTTAGTTGATTCTGTGATAAGTCCCATGAATGGTGCATCCTTCCTGGTCTTTTCCAGTTTACTTTTTTTGAAGTATGCTCTGTTAGGCCAGAATCCAGGGTCATAGTCAAGTTATCTTCTATTTTTTTATTTACAGAACTTTTCAAATGGCTTTTGGAGTTGGAATCGTCTTGGAATACTATCTGGAAACCGTCATCGTCGCTGTCACTTTCAATGTACGCCGCGTCATCACTTAAAGGAATGTTTATAGAAACAGATTTACTGCGTCTGGTTTTGGGACTTGTCGACGTCTCTTCTAGGTGTTTTTCCCTAAAATGCATTAATAATAGTCTCATATTTAAATGTGTAATACAAAACATGGGAGTCTGTCATATAATTATGTGAATTCAGCGTCTCGGTTTAGCTGTGTACCAAGTTCTATTAGCTTATCACAACAGGAGATGAAAATTTTATTAAATCGTCCTATGGTTTTATGGTACAAGACATCAATATTTGATCTAGGAAATGTCTTCGGGTTCAGAAAAATATTCGGAACCAGCCTTTTTGCATAACTTTATTTAAAAAGGTCCCCTAGTTTAAACGATATGTTAACCTGATCCCAAAAACTGTTTTTTTGGCTCCGGGTAGATTTTTTTTGTAATTCTGAATCAAACAGCATCTTTTCTCGAAAGTTGATTGTTGTTGATTATATATATAGAGCTTTGGCCAAAAGTATTGAACACCCTCGATATCTTTCAATTTTAGGGGACTATTGGAATAAATTGACACAATTTTGTATAGTTATAAATGTTTTATTATGAGAAGAAAATCAATATTTTGTGGGACCTCCCTTCACCTTAAGTACAGCAGAAATTCGTCTAGGTAAAGATCGTACAAGTTTATCACATTCTTCGTAAGTTAAAGCGTTCCATTCTTCACGTAGGCGGCCCTTTAAGTCTTCTTTTGTGTTGATTGTGTGACGCCTGATCTTGCGTTTTAATAAGTCCCACAAATGTTCAATCGGATTCAGGTCTGGTGACTGGGCAGGCCAACCCAGAAGTTCGATACAGTTTTCTCTGAACCAAGCCATTGTCCATGCAGCTTTGTGGCAAGGCGCATTATCTTGCGGTAAATGACGGCAAAAGAGCACATTCAAGTACGTTTATGTACTTTGTGGCATCCATGTGACCCTCACACATAGACATTTCTCCGACTCCAGAAGCACTCATGCAGCCCCAGACCATTACGCTGCCGCCACCATGTTTCAAAGTAGGCACCACACACTCCTGATTGAATTGTTCTCCTACTCGACGACGAACAAATGTCACACCAGGTGTACCAAAAATCTGAGAAATTAAGTAATATCATTGAGTAGTTGCTTAGTCAACTAACGTACCTCAAAGTTTGATTCGTCTGACCATACAATATTTGACCAATCCTCTTCAGTGAAGTTTTTGTATTTTAAAGCCCAATCATACTGAGCCGTCTTGTTTTTGCCTGAGAGCCATGGCTTGTTTCTGGCTTTGCGGCCATTTAGACCAGCTTCTTGAACCCTTCTGCGAGTAGTTCGGGTAGAAATTGGTCTATTAATCTGCGCTGACAGCTCGGCAGCGAGGACAATAGAATTTTTTTCCTATTTTTCAAAGACTCTCTGATCAATACTCTGTCTTCACGATCTGTGGTGATGCGTTTGCGGCCTGTTCTAGGTCTATCTTCATGTGAACCGGTCTGAGCGGATCGCTGAATAGTGTATTGTACACATCGACGCGAACACTTCACTGTTTTCGCAATGTCTACTTGGGACTTCCCTTGTTCAGGAAGAACCTGTATTTTCACACGTTTTTCAATGCTCACTTCATTCTTTTTTGCCATATTGCGACAGTATTAGTTAAATTGTCGAAATAAAATTATCAAAGTCTCACTAAATCACTGAATTGTTCACAACGAACGATAGACGCGAAATGATAAATTCACACTGAAAAGGTAAAACTGAGTGATCTCTAAAAAACTAGACGTCTTAGCGATAGTAAGCAGATATGGTATTGATACTTCTGGCCAAGGCTGTATATATTGAATATTTGAAAAATTTGCCATTTAGGGATATTGTTATTGTAAACATTTCTTTTCTAACTGTTAATCAAGCGCGCGTTCAATGAATATTCAATTAAGAATTCTTATTGCAGCTAAGATATTTGTCATTCCTTTATACAATACCACAGCCGCAGGAATTATAGTTCATTTCAAGGTTATAATATACTCTTACATTGGCTTTATTTCGCCACACACTAACAACCACCTATTTCCAGTGAAACCAGCATTTTTACGAGCAGAAAGACGGCGTCGCAATGGAAAGCCCCCTGAGCCCCGTAATAGCGAACTTTTAGATGGGAAAGTTTGAAGAAAGAGCCCTGACAACGGCTTCAAAACGCCGGAGCTGCTGTCTCAGGAATCTGAAATAAACCGGGCACTACGTCCTAAGCTATTCTATGCAAACGTAACATCAAAACGATCTACACACCGCCGAAGAAAATTCAAGAGCATCGGAGATCTGCAAAAGACGCAAGGGAACCGCTCAGTTTTGCAGGGGTATACAGAATCCGATGTTCGTGTGGAGAAGTCTATGTCGGAAGTGTTAACACCAGGATAAACGAACAAAAAGCAACTGCCGCCTGGAACAAACAGAAAAATCGGCCGTGGCAGAACACGTCCTCCTTCATGACGACCTCTTTGACAAAACTGAAATACTGGCCACAACAACACATTATTTCACCCGGCTATTCAGAGGCAAATTAAATTCAAAAACAAAAGAACAATTTCAACCGAAAATATGAAGGAATATCCCTGAACAAAACATGACATGCCATATCACAAAATCTCCAACAAAACCCAAATGTTGGAAATTCCACCGTTCAGTCCAAGTCCGCCGAGGACAGATAAATACGCAGGCACCACAAGAGACATTAGTCGATTGAGCTGGCACTTTAGGCTATATTTTCGAATGAAAAATATAAATCGTCTAAATTTTGGTTATGCACCTTCATCTTTTTAGATTTCAAATTTGATTTTACTATCAAAAAGTTCTTAAAATTGTCCTATATAAAATGCTAAGCTCAATATCTCAATCCAAAAAAATACATGAGAAAAATCACAATTTCAATCATGACTATTTTTTTGAAAACGTGTTTTCTCTCTCATACCTACCAGATGTACAAATAGACCTAATATGAACGAATGTCAAAGCGTTACTTTTTTTGTTGTCCACTTGATGTGAAATGTCCCATTATTATGTTTACATGTTGATATCACTTTCTTAATCACTTAGATATGAGCAAGTAATGGATTCCATAATGAAAATAGTGATACAGCTATACTCACATTATCCATTTCTTGTCGTGCTCTTCTTGCCAACCAACCGGAGGTTTTTCAACCCAGGAACTGAAATATCTCACAATATTTTGGTGCTCTAGTTTTGCAAGGGCCTTCACTTCGCGCATTACCCGATCTCTTTTCTTAGGCCTGAAAGGAAAATACAGATTAATCTATTAAGTAAGGCCCAGTTTTTCAATCGCAAGTTAACTTTCTACAGGGTGGCCGATATGTAACTGATTGGTTTGTATCTCGAATATTTGTGAAATGAAATAAAATACGTCCATTTTTTTCATCTTAATCTTTTATGGAAACTTAGAAATTATGTATGAAAAATAATATCAGACAAATTTCCGCCTCTAGAAGCCGCGCAAACCTGAGCCCTCTTGATTTCGACCACTTTTTGGTAGGTTTCGGGAAGAATATTTTCGATCGCTTCCGTAATATTGTTCTTCAGCTGCTCTACAGTATTTTGTTTGTTGTCATAAACCCTATTTTTTAAAAATCCCCATAAAAAAGTGGAGCCGTTAAATCCGGTGACCTTGGTAGCCAGTTGACATCACCAAAGCGAGAAATTGAACGTCCCGGAAATATTGTTCGCAAAAGATTCATTGTTTCCCTAGCTGTGGACAAGTTATATTTGCAGGTTAAATTGTTGGATTTGACGAGCCAGAAAGTTCTGGACCATATCACGGTAGCGCTCGCCAGTGACAGTAAGATAATGACGTGCAGCGTCTTAAAAGAAGTAAGGTCCAATGACACCTCCATACCAAACACCGTACCAAACTGTGACTCGACGAGGATGTAGTGATCGTTGATGGATGACACGAGAGTTTCTCCCAGATACGACAATCTCATTACTTATCAAACGCACCTTGTATTTCCAAAAAATAACTAAAAAATTATGGTCTAAATGGTTCAGTATATGAATAATTTATTAACGTATTTCCTTACTCCTTGGGTAGAGTTATCCTCTTGATAGCATAGTTACACTCGTCAATTTTTTTCTTCACCTCGAAAACAACCCCAAAACCGCCTTTGCCAAGACATCGCACCGTGTCAAAATCGTTTACGTATCTTGATGTGAATGTGTCACCTTCGTTGGATTTTTCAACAGTGTTCTGAGCATCTCCTGGTTTCTCGATTATGATAATTTCTTGTTTTTTCTGAGTGTTATTCCAAATATGGAACAGGAAGTTGCAAATGAAGATACTCAAAGCCATCACAAAGAATTCCTTCCACCACCAGGATAGGAATATCAGAGACAAGTTATCATAACTAGCACCATTGATAGCATCTCGAATACAACTTTCGTTTTTATATTTTTGGTCAGGCTTTGCATCTGGCTCTGAATACAGATAGAATCCGTGACCTGAAAAGTAAACCAGTTAGTTAAATCACTGATTAATGTATTCCCCAAGATGCTCAACTATATACTGTATTTGGACGTTAATCTACAATTTCTATCATCACAGCCATGTTCCGCCATCCATGAGCCAATGGCAAAACCAATGGCTGTTCGCTCATAGATCGTTATATTCCAGCGTCCAAAACATTATCTGAGATAAAATGAGATACCGTAGCGCCATCTATGAGAAATTATCTCAGCTGTTTCTCGATTTACTACATATACTTTGAAAAGGTTATTGTCTCATAAATGGCGCTGACTATATGAACATATACAAGCATACAGGTTGCTACAAAGACGCTAACATTTTTTATATCGAAGCACTCGCGCAGGCAGAAGCCTAAATGCCGGAACACCGCGACTGCTATGATGATCCCAAAGAAATCTTGTTAATACGATTTTTGAACTGCCTAAGGTTAGTACAACTGGGAAAGCTCCGTCTTGTAGATTGGTGGTACCGCCTCGGTCGACTGGTCCTTGTCTACCACCTTTTTTTTACGTGTTAGTGATATTAAATAGACCTAAAGTGGTGGACTTGTACCGCCACCCGGCAATCGATACTGAGGTATTCCTTAACGCGTGTACAATTACTTGAACGGGAAGAAGTTGTATACTGGATACAACAACTTCCGGATCAAGCATTTGTCACGGCCCCGCTCAGTAGGGGTCAACATTTTCAAAGTATAGGGTGGGCCATCTATCGGTTTCGATTTGAACCACGTGTTAATTTGACGCTGACAATACTTATGTCAATCTGATTTGTCATAAAATTCAGTATATTATCTCCGCTGAACGAAATGAATCGATTTACGCTTGAGCAACGTTGGGTAATATTGGAAATTTATTTCCAAAACAAAGACAATTGGGCAGAAATTGCACGAAAATGCCGTTCAAAATTCGGTCGCAACGAAGCACCAACAGCGCCCGGTATACGCAAGTTTATTAATAAAGTGCGTGAAACTGGTTTCATTGTTGATGCTCCAACACGTCAGCGTGCTCGTACAGTGCGTACACCCGAAGGTATCGATGCTGTGGCTGCGAGTGTGCGTGAAAATCCATCAACGTCAACACGTCATCGTTCCCAAGAATTGAACATTTCCCGCACCAGTTTACGACGAATTTTGCGGAAAGATCTCGGTATGACGCCTTACAAAGTTCAATTGGTTCAAGAGTTGAAGCCGCGTGACCATCCACTTCGTTCTGCCTTCGCTACATGGGCCAACGAGCAACTAATCAATGATGTCGATTTTGCGAAAAAAATAATCTTTTCAGACGAAGCTCATTTTCATATTGGTGGCTACGTCAATAAGCAAAATTGCCGTATCTGGAGCCCGGAAAACCCACACGAGGTCTTAGAGAAGCCAATGCATCCCTTGCGAGTGACTGTTTGGTGTGGATTGTGGAGCGGAGGCATCATTGGCCCATATTTCTTTGAAGACGGGGACGGCGCAACCGTTTCTGTCAATGGAAACACCTATCGCACCATGATAACTGATTTTTTTGTTCCTGCTCTTGATGGTATTGATGTGGAGAATGTTTGGTTTCAGCAGGATGGTGCAACTTGTCACACATCGCATGCCACAATCAACTTATTGCGCGAAACCTTCGATGGCCGTTTAATCAGTCGAAATGGTGATGTCAATTGGACGCCAAGAAGCTGCGATTTGACACCATTGGACTATTTCCTGTGGGGCGCTGTTAAAGACAAGTGTTATGTCGACCATCCAGAGACAATTGACCATTTGAAGGCCAACATTCGTGATGCCATTGACGAGATACGGCCCCAAACACTCGAAAAAGTGCTCGAAAATTGGTCCGATCGAATGGGCTACTGTGAGGCCAGCCGCGGCAGCCATTTGAATGAAGTAATATTTCATTTCTGAGCGGAACAATTGTACTTCAAAACAAAAAAATAAATTTGGCAATATCTCAAACCGTTTTTGTTTTATTTTATTTTTAAATCGAAACTTTTAAATGGCCCACCCAATATATGTAGTAAATACAGAAACAGCAGATTTCATTTGTAATGGCAGTGTGTTAGGTTCAATATTATTTATCATATATATCAATGATTTAAGAGGTCGCATTAAGAATTATGACATTATAATAATTAATTATGCTGATGATACCAGCATACCTATTAGCGACAAAAACACCACTGGATTGGAGCATAATGGTCAGCAGGTGTTTGAATCGGCGAGGAAATGACCCCAATGAAAATATATCATTGATCATTTTATCTTACCATTGACATATTTTGATCCATTCAGTACAGAAAGGGCTGTAGAATCATCCTCTGTAACTTCAGTAGATGCTGGTATAGCATTCCATCGTATCTTCATTATACTCGAAGTTTCAACAATAGGCGGAGAAGCAACCATTTTCATACTCTTATCATACAGTGCTTCGTGCATCTTCGAGGATTCCAGAATATATAACTAGAATAAAGATATTTTTGAAAAAAGGCGACTTATGTGGACATAAGGATGGTGCAGAAAAGGCTAGGATATACAATGGAATTTCTGTTCGCGGACACCCCTCTCACACGGACACCTCCTTTAAACGGACAGTTTCTCATGGTCCCAACCAACTCTCATATAATTTGCATTGTTAACTCTCTCTTGGACGTAAGTTCTCTTGAACGGACGCGAAAACGAGATAATATTCTCCTAACCGGACAAAAAACAAAATATAAACGCCTTGTCTTATTTTTTCTTTTGCGAGTATCGCTATTGGATTTTTCAATCCTTGCATGTATTTTGCTGTAATTATTAATGCAATTTATTTATGTATAAGTGAGTATTATGCTATAACGAATTATGTATACAGGTTGGTGCATAATAAAATACGTTAAAAAAAGAAATACAGCACAATATTAATTTGTCCATATACTTTTGATAATAGTTAGATGTATCTTCCTTTGATGTGTGTTTATTGCAAAAGATATTGATTTGTGTATCGAACTGTCTACTTAAATAAGATCATTTCACTTCCCATGCAAAAAACATTGTGGCTCCAAGGTTTCGATTTTGATTGTGTATAAGTCTTTAAAAACACTTTTTTACCTGTTCATCATGCATTCCAAGATAAATAGACGGCAAAAGTGGAGTATCCGTAATAACTTTGGGTACTCCCTGGTTAGTGAAAAGATTCACTTCTGTTAAATTGCTGCCAGTCCATTTCCAAATTCGGACTATCGGAGATGTGAAAGTATGTTGCCAACTATGCTTTGTCACATTTTCTTGTGATATTACCACCCTAAGCAGGCCTTTAGGTACAATGGCTGTTAAATTCCAATCATAGAGTCGAACTTGATTGTCTATGCAACTGACTATATGTAACTTAACATCATGCAAACCCACACTGAAGTTCCATCTGAAAAATTAAGCAATATTTTTACCATTAGTTGTGTGAGTACAGAATAAAGAGCAATGCAGAAATGTAGTAGTACTAATTTGTTTACCTTTCACTACCTGTTCTAGGTTCTATAGCTCTTACAACATGGGTACTTCTTTCAACCAATAACACGTCATCAACATCTTGCTCAACAGTGTTGGAACAACTGACAGAAGTACACTCATAATACAAAGACCCTGTTCTAAGTCCAAGTCCATATGTCCTAACTTCTATCCCACCTGTAGAAAATATAAACATATGTAGCCAATGACTGAATTTCGGAGAGTAGTTACTGCATTGGATGTCAATTTGACGCTACGACCCAAGGAGGGTGCCATTTTCTACCTCAAATTTAGCATTAGATGGTTTTTTGAAGGGGTGTCAGTTTTGGCGATCTTTGATATGCATTGGGGAGGGTTTTTTCTACTTGACGACTGGCGGTGGCTAGATATTGCTCAAAACCTGTAAGTTGCAAAATTTTTTCTAACCAAAATTCTCTGCGAACTCCCCCTTAATGAGATATTTAATCCACAAAACATATACATCGATTTCTAATCCTAACAATGTGCAGATCCACATTTCAGAATATTAAATTTACAATTAGACCTCTCAATAAGAATCAGCTGAAAACATGAAGCACAATAAAAAATAACACTGATGCCCAAAATTTTTCTTTCAGCTTTCCTGTAAAAAGATCTGCTTTGTAATGAAAATACATCAATTTTGAATGGTGCTGCGATGATTTCCATTTATTTTGATATGCAGTCTATAAAAATCTTGACTGTGATTCAGAAAACAGTTGTACAAGGCCCAATAACCCTTATATCAAAAGAAAGCTTGTGGAAAGGGGAATCAAACAATCTGATCTATTTGAAATATTTGAGATATATTTAATTTTGCATTCATGGCCTTTCTGTATAAACTATCAAAAAAATCTGAAAAAGTATGTAGATAAGGACGGAATATGGGATTATAAATTCTTTCTGACAAAAAATTCAGTACTCTAGCTATAACAGTTGTGGATGTGCAAGTTGTAAAAGTTGAGTTTTTGAAGATTGTCCTATATTTCAACAATTTGCAAATAAAACCCTATAGTATGTTATATCAAATTGCGTTGTTTTAAAGCACCTATCTAAATCTGCAATTAAATGTAGGGCTATCCAACTAAACAAATGTACATTTGGGTCACCACACAGTTCTTAATCACCCTGTAGAGATTAAAATATTTTCATACTGTTGCCTACAATTTTTGTATTCAACTTTTTAGCTCAATGCATAATAACAGAGTATGTATACCCTGTATAGTTTATGTTCATTTATAAATATATTGTGTTTCACACCACCTGCATTCTGCTACTCACTAGTGACTGTTGTTTTTTTTTTGATACTGTAAAATTTAGTACCCTAATTTATCTAACTGTAGAAAGTATCGGACGTCTAATGGTATAAATATCATCTTCTTTAAACTGTAATTCACTTGGATTATGAACAAAACCTATTGCATAATTCTACATTTTCAAAAATCCCTGTGTATCTGTTATCTTGCTGCATTTGCAAGTAAATGTGTGGATAGATTCCAAATGTGACGTCAATTTAGTGCTAAGACATTACCAAAATGTACTCCATAATTAAAGCACAGACTAATGGGTAAATACTGTTCAATTGGTTACCTGCTATAACTAGGTCATCTGAGAAGCGAAATGAGGACTTCAGTAAATTTTCTGTAGAAATAAATATTGGGTCGACTGTAGTTCCATCAAATTTATAAAGTGTACCTGACAATGATGGAATGATCCTGATCCATTCTCCATTATTAGTTAGCTGAAAAAAAATAAATAATAGACTTATAGATGCTCAATAATTAACGAAAATACCTTCAACTTCTTTAACACCCTACAATTCTGCAGAAAAGTGTGGTTTTTCTACTTGTGTCAGACATTTTTTTGATGTACACTTTAGTGGATAGTTAGATCTGTTTTTAAAATGGCAATGTTACTACATTTTACATCACATTCACATATTGAACCAACATAGGATAACACCAATGTGTGAATGGTGAGCTATCAATGAATGATAGCATATTGTACCATGTTAGCACCAACACAGGTTCTGATGTTGGAATGTGACATAACAAATATAGAGTTCATAAACCATAAATCTAAGAATTCAATATCTTGTAGTCAACTGGTATGATGTTGTACCCACATACCATTGTATTAGTGATATCATTAAATTACTACTGGAGGTGAGTTCTGATAGTATTGGATCATCAAAATTGAGTACCGAATCATTTTGAAAATTATAAATTGATATATTTCACATGTAACCAAAGAACAGACTACCAAAAAACTGACAACATCCATGGGAACTTTAGAGTGAACCTACTTAATATACTTTTTTAAGAATGAGGAAATGAGCATTGCTTGTAACCCTTACCTCTAAGTTATGGATATTGGAATGTAGTAGAGGACCTGGTCCTGTTTGTATTTGCCACACAATATCTCCAGTTATATTTAAAGCTGACATTCGCCCATCTAAGGTACTAACCAGAAGTAGCCTGATAAAAAAGATTTCTTTGATATAGCCCGAGGTTTCCCTATTCCAAACTTGATACCTACCCTGATCCAGTTTTTTCGGAGCAATAGGGTAAGGAAGGGATACCATTTCCAAAAGATATCCCAAAAACTAGTGACAACAAAGCTAGTACAATTTTAAACATTGTTGTTTAGTATCAGCATTACTACCATTTTAACATTTTGAGACAAATCACACCACCCCAAAACAACTCACCAGTTTTTACAAAGTCAAAACTTGTCAAAACAAATGAATGTCCATTTGATGCATTTCCTGTCAATCACAAAACATATACACTGAAGAAGGTTTAATTCCATACTATTCCATGGCAACACGGTGACTTGTGTGGTTGTCAGCGGCCATTTTTGAGGGTGCGACACGGTTGCCAATTGTGCATTAATACCCCGCAAGATTGCCAGCTCTACAGAGAAATATGAGACTGCTATACTTTTATATATAGAAATTTAGTGGGATATGGGAGATCTTGTAACAGCATGTGTTATTAACATTTTTGCGCTATCTTGACGAATTAGTGCTTTTTTGTACATTAAAATAGCAACGTCAATAACACAAGCTGTTATAAGATCACTCATATCAACTTACTAATCTGGAAAGGTTCAGAAGAAAAACATATACTGCAAATACCTAAATATACAGGGTGACTTCGAAGTTGAGCCATTTATTTTAACAGTGAGTAGATCTGATCAAAAGAAATGTTTTTTTCCTTTAACATTTTTGTGGTAAAATTAAAGTAACAAAGTTATAGCCCTTTAGAAGTTTGAGTACCGCCCTGTCTCAATAATAATATGTGCTCCTGTTTGGCAACAACGGATATAGTCGGAAACAAAAAAGCGAAAGAATTTGAAACGCTTATCACGATGTTTTATTCATTTATTTTATTCAGTTGTATTCATTCGATGTGTCAGTCGGTAATGCGTGAGTGGTGTTTCTGCGTGGCTCAAACGAAATAAAAAATGGCACATGTTTACGAAAATGCTGAACTTGTGGACATGATTCCGATTTTACAAAATGCTGCTCCGGCAACACGGATTTATGCGGATCGGTTCCCCAATCGAGTGCAACCAACCCCTAGTGCCTTTGTTAATGTAGTACAAAGGGCTCGTGAATTAGGTGACTTAAGTCCTCACACGGGAGGGTATGTGCTCCAAGACCGCACGATCAAATACAGGTCCGCACTGAAATACTTGTCGGGAGGATATTTTATAAAACAAGGTAACATTTTTTTAAATTTTTTTTTTAATTTTTACACACATATTTTGGTTAATCTTCCTTCTACAATCATTATCTGAAAATTAATGACTCAACTGTATATGCGATGCGGTGCGCAAACTCATCATTGAAGATAGACATGTGATATATCGCGAGATTGAGGCGTCCTTGAAGATCTCAAAGACCTCAATTAAAAAAAATTACATGAAGAATGAGGAGTAATAAAATTAGTTTCTCGTTGGATACCCCACCTGTTGACTGAAGAGCAGAAAGCAGCCAGGGTTAATTGGTGTCAAAAAACGCTTGATCGTTTCAATTCCGGAAACTCAAAAAATGTGTACAGTATTGTTAGTGGTGATGAATCGTGGATTTACTGTTATGAACCAGAAAATAAACGACAGTCGGCTGTTTGGGTGTTCCAGAGTGCAGAAAAGGCAACAAAAGTCATCCGTTCTCGAAGTGTTTCGAAAAAGATGGTCGCGACAATTGTATCAAAAGCGGGTCATATTGAACAATTCCTCTTGATGAGCAAAGAAGTGTTACTGCGGATCGGTATACCACCATTTGTTTGCCAAAAGTCATCACCGAGCTTCGAAAAATCAACCCCGAAACAAAAATCATCCTCTACCAAGACAATGCAAGCTCGCACACAGCCCAAAAAACAAAGCAGTATTTAACGGAAGAAAACGTGGAATTATTGGACCATCCTCCATATAGTCCCGATCTAAGTGGTAACGATTTCTTTACTTTCCCGAAAATTAAAAACAGACTGCGTGGTCAAAGGTTCCAGTCACCAGAAGAAGCAGTTGATGCATTCAAAATGTCGTTTTGGATCTGCCAGCAAACGAGTGGAATAAGTGTTTCGAAAATTGGTTCGAGGGCATGCAGATGTGTATTAATCTTCGTGGAGAATACTTCGAAAAACAATAAAGTCATTTAAAACTACCTACCGTGTTTTTTATTTCCATATGCAAAACTTAAAAGACATCCCTCGTATTACAGCTTTGGGTACTTACATTTTTATACTCCACAATTCTGAACAAAAGGCATATGTCTCAAATAACATAATAGGGACTTTATTCAATCAAAAAGAAATGTTTATGACGCACAACGAAAATGGCTTGCGGAAAAAGTAAGGTCATTTTTGCGAAGCACAGCCACAGGAATAAACCCGCCGGACATTCAAATCTGGCCAATCAGACAGCGTCAGTTGTGAATAAGCCGCCATTTTTTGAGGGTGGGACATGGTTGTCATATTGTGTACCCGCAACACTGCTTTGTTTCACATTCGCTCGAATGAGTTTCACCCTCCCTGCTGTCAATGTCACTTTGACACATGTCCCACATGGAGGGGATGGCAATGTTCAAGAAAACGTAGGTGTTTGGACATCGATAAGTATCGCACTCGTAGCATCGACGTCTACGATACATCGAAACAAATACTTCGATAGTTTTGATAAATCCAAAGATAGGCTGTTCGGCTGTCCTTATCTAAGCTTAAGCTAATTAAACATTATCTCCACGTTTTGACAATTGAACATAGTATACCATCTTGATAGTCATGATTATGTAAAGAAAGAAAGTATGAAAAATGTAAGAACCATAAAAAATAGAAAACGCGACAGAAGCTTCATAAGAAGATAAAAGAACGATACCTCTGTGACTGATTGCAATATTTTGGCATAAAAGTGAAATAATATAAATTAGTAAGATGAGATTGCCAAAATTGAGAAAATATTGATGTTATTCTAAAAATAAGAAAGTTTTATTTTTTCCATTAAAATAAGGAAACAAATACAAATATTCGTCTATGATAGTATTGATGTCACTGAAGCACTACTAAATAGATTTCTGTCATATGTGAATGTGAGGATTCTAGGATCGATGTATCGAATATATCGAAATACCTTTGCCATCCCTATGCATTAGTGCAGTGAAATTATGATTGTCATTGTGGCAAGATTCTGGATATCCCTAATTGTAAAATATTCCATTTTGAGAAATGTATATAACTAATGAATAAAAAATGTAAACAATATATGCAGTTGTATTTTTTTTACATCAGCTAATCGATGATTGAAAATTGCTAGTGGAAATCATGAAACATACACGCTAGAAATAATAAAGCAATGCCAAAGGTATGATAAAAAAATTAAAATTGCCAATGCTTGATTCATTTCAAAAGAGAGTTTTTATAGTATTTGTTTTGTCACTTCGTTATGATTTTCGTTATTTTATTTTGCGCAGTATCGATACAATCCATTGTTCCCCGTAAATAAAAAAGCAATGTTGCTTACGGAGATGAGGGACCGGCTTATTTATTCCATACGCTGTTGCCGGTATTCGTAAGGCCCCGTAAGCTTTATTAAAATAATTCCAAGTTAGAAAAATAGATTGGTTAAAATATATAAATATGGGTTTTATTATAAAAATAATATATGCTCATATAGTTGCCTAAGGCACTATCTATGAGACACTGACCTTTCCAAAGTAGATTTCTATTTCTAATTAAACAAGGTGCTTTCGTCCGCCCGACCAAGAAAAGAATACATCCAACCATGGGCAGTTGTTTCGTGCTTCTTAGCTACTCATCAGCATGGTATAGAGTTGGTCTCTTATCTCTGGATGAATAAGAGAAAGAATCACAATGCCGGAGGCACGGTTTATCAGCATGAGATAGCGCTTCGCTATTATTACAGAATGAAAGAACGGAACGAAAGTGTCACTTTCACAATTGGCTATTGGGGTAAAAATAAAACAACATACTTTTACGATATTTTTTATTTTCATAGGTTATAAAATAGCATTCATAAACTATATATATAATATACAGGGCAAATAACTACAAGCTTTGTCGTGAAAAACAAACGAGTTAAAAATACCAAAATGCATCATACATAAAATTAAAATTGTGTTATGCTTATATGTATAGCAATAACTTGGCTTCAGAAAACCCTTCGTGGAGATATGATTATTTACTGTATTTTTTCGTCAACAAGAAAATTTTCTACCTATACAGGGTGGCCCATCCATGTGTGGACTGAATATTACTCATAAACAAATACATTTTGGGAAAATCTATTTATGGGATGTTATACATGACATTTGAGGGCACATTTCTAAGATATTGGCCATTATACAGGGTGTCCCAATTTCGACCTACATATCAAAGTTGTGAATTTTCAAATGGAATTCCTCAAATTTTACTGCACATTGGGATAAACCAATTCAAAACAAGAAAATTGATATAACATACTATGGAGTTTTGGTAATTAGCTACTGAAATATAAGGTGTTTTGTCTAGAAAAACCCCCCACTTCGGCAACCCCTCAGTCCGCCATTTTGAATTTTGGAGTACTGAATTTTGTATCAAAAAAAAACTTACACACCTCAGCTTTTATCTTATTTGTTACTTTTTCTAATTTTAATTTTTGCTCATACATGGTGGTCAAAAACGCAAATTGTAGTTTTTCTCAAAAATTTCAAATGCATCACCCTGTATATTTGTGCAAGTTTGGATTCAATTTTTTATAAGCTTTTTTTGATACTAGACACATGGAGGTTTTTAAGTGTATTTTTTCGGTTATTAGCACGTCTTGTATGGAACGGCTTAATTCCCTAAAATATCGCATCATCCTTGGAAACAAATAAATTGTTGATTAGTCACAAACTGTCAAAATTAGCTTTGTGAGCATTATAATAAAAACGTGTTTAAAACTGAATTTTTCTAAAGAAGAAAAGGTGAATATGATGTTCGTTTTAGAAATAGTTTCCTAGCATCTCGTAAGTAACGGTACTCTAATATGCGACATCCAAGGTCGGAAACATTTTCCACACTACGAGAACGTTTTGAATCAAGTAGAGCAGTGGAATACAGTAAAAAAATGTATAAACAATCCAAGTGTCACCAATGAGGCGAATAATCAGTTGGAGGTTCTATTAAAGTTGCAGGAAAATCCCCATTTAAGTGCACGGCAAATTGGAGCAGAATCTGATATATGCTGAACTTCTGTTCAAATGATTATTCACAAGCATAGGTACCATCCATATCTCCTATGCTTGCGTCAAGGCCTTCGTCCTCAGGATTTCGCAGCTCGAATGGAGTTTAGTAGAATAATGCTAAATAAAGCGAGTGAAGACACTACTTTCCTGGATAAGATTTTTTTTAGCGATGAGGCAACTTTTAACAGCATAGGTTTGAGAAAAAGTACAATTAGCGTTTTTGACCACCCGGTATGAGCAAAAATTAAAATTCGAAAAAGTAACAAATAAGATAAAAGCTGAGGTGTGTAAGTTTTTTTACATCTCAGTAGCTAATCACCAAAACCCCATAGTATGTTATATCAGTCTTCTCCGTCTGAATTACTTTGTCCAAATACGCAATAAAATTTGAGGCATTCCATTTAAAACATCACAACTTTGATATGTAGGTCAAAATTGGTACACCCTGTATAATTGCCAATATTTTAGAAATGCGCCCTCAAATGTTATGTATAACATACCATAAATCGATTTTCCCAAAATGTATTTGTTTATGAGTAATATTCCGTCCACACATGGATGGGCCACCCCGTACATGCAACAAAAAAACACAGTATATTGTATATCACAATGATGTTACTTTTTTGATTTGCTGCTGCAAATGATTGTCAAAATTCAATGATGGAAACATGTAGCTTTTGAAGTATATTTGAACATGAAAAAATTATCTTTTTATGCCGAATATTCGAGAAACCCTTACAACAGGGATATTTTACTACAAAGCTGTGATGAATGCCTTCATTGTGAAGGAATTACACGATGTTTGAAGGAATGACGGAGTATTTTCGGATTTGAAACATCTGAGAAAATAGTTTTTCACATAAATCTAACACGTTAAAATTATTTTTACTGCAAAGTCTAAAAAAATTAGGTAGGTCACACAAAGAATCTACAAGTATATAAAATAAAGTGATTCGGATAGAAGAATATTTTCCCACTGATAGCAAAGTATAACTAAGATTCCAACGCCTTATTGTAACGGGTGATTCATTTGGATGTACTAACTTAACAAATAAATAAAAAACAACTGACTTCTATCGTATTGTCTTCATAAGATGCTGATTTTTCGAATCATTTCTTTCAAATATCGAATGTTATTGCTACCATTGCGGTCAGCTCAAATTTTGATGATGGGTGCAATGATTCCTAGTGCAATTAATAAAAATTATTTTTAAATTGAAATTTTTAAATGAAAACAAATAACTGGGTAGGTCGCACAAGGAATCTATAAGTATATACAACAAAGAAGCAATTCGAATAAAAAAAAACCGAGAACCTTGCCTTGTTTTTTAAAGAATTCAATGAGCGACTAACCTAACAGACTCATTTTCCAATATTGTTATATAGGCTATAACACTGATTGCAACATATAACTAAGATTCCAATACCTTATTATAAAGGGTGATTCATTCAGAGGTACTTCTTTGAAATAAAAAAATCATGGCGGTGGTATGTCCGACTTTCTGTTTTCAAAATCGTAAATGGGCATAACATAAAAAATAAACATTCAATTAGACAACGTTTCGAGGGTTGAACATAACATTTTACTCTTCTTTTCAAGACTTTTCCAGTATTGAAATGTCATTTTGCCCTAAATGGTTCATCTGAAAGTCTAATAAAATAAAGGATATTCAGACAAAAAGAATGACAGAGTTTGAATTTCTTTTTAAATAAATGTTCCATGTTTTATTACATATTCCAATCAACCCTCTCATGACTTAGACAGCCAGCAAGTTCGCCATTTTGAAAGATGATGATTTTATATTCTACAGTTATGAAGTACTCATAAAGATCTTCAAAACTGAGTTATCACACCACCCCCTCACTCCATTTGAAAAAATGGTGCCTATTCGCCATCTTCAACTTCCTCTTTTACGCTAAAATATAGCATTCATGTATTACTTTCATTACGCCGAATTTCAACTTGCTGACTCGACCCGTTTGAAAAATAAATAGGGGCTGCCTTTTTGAAAAGCATGTATACATCTCAATCCGGAACAAAATGAATATTAAAATCTTCATAAACAGATTTAAAACTTTTGAGGCTTCCATCTACGAGTTCCAAAACCCATACGTAACTTTTATCGCACATATCGATATTTAAACGTGAAGCAAGAAAAAAGTGTTTCAAGAATTAATCTTTGGACCTAGGCCTCCACTTTTCTGGACTCTCTTGTTACGAAACCTCTAGACCACCACGCAGAATAGTTCGTTTAAAAGTTGACAATTCTGCCGAGAACGTATTTTCTATCGTTTGTACCCCCCCATATGTACGCCACTGCCTCTAAATGAATATCCCATTATTGTCAGATTTTGGATTTTGCGGTATCATAGCCTAAGCAAAGCTTGTTGTAAATCACTCTGTATAAGCTATGTAACATGGAACGTTATACAAACAAAACATAATTCACATAAAAGTATAGTGGGTACTTCCCAAATGATATGCAGGAATGCTAGCAGCTGGGTTCTCCAACCGAGGAAACTGTAGATGGGGTTCCAGTCCCAGAACTGAACTTCTGGTCACCATCGCAGATGTACTTCCCAGATACGAATCTTCGTTTGACTAGAGACAATCTGTATCCAGGTCCGATAAGCTGGAACTCGATTCCAGACAAAGTGGTACCTTCACAATTAAATTGCGTGGAAACAGTCTGCGGAGTTCCAGGTCCGTTTTCAAGGTCATACCGCGCTGCTACAGACCCTACGCCGTGATTCTCCGAGTGTTGCGAGAGCTCGGTGAATTTCCATATCAATCTGTTACTTTCTGTAGGCCTGGAACAGAATAACAAAATTATCAAGAATCATGAAAAAACGAAGTTGATAGTTTGTGCAGCGACCCATTTTTACCTCACATTCGACACCACGATTTTTACAGTCATACTCGTATTCAGCGCTCCAAATTTATGGGGGTTGCAGGGAAGAACAATATTCTTGGATGCCGTCTCCCCCATGAAAAGTTTATTTTGTTGTATTCAAAAAATATTATACACATGAGTGTTCTTTGCTTTGCTAGGCCTGTCTTAATCCCGTACAAACTGAAAACACAACCATGTTCAAAAAGTAAGCATGAGACTACCTGCAATTTTATTTGTGCCAGTTTAGGCGTTCTTATATAACATTAGGTTTATACTTTATCCATTGTTTAGGTCAATATGGAATTCGTCAAAAACTATGAATTCATCAACTTATTTAATATTAAAAAGGGATAACTGTTTTGGATTTCTCATTGGTATCATTTCTACGAGTATATTGTTTTGTATCATAGTACATACACTGAAAATAATATAGTGCTATTTTTATATGGCGGTAGCTTCTGATATTGGTTATATATTTACTGAAATTTGAATGAGCCATGCTCACAAGGTAAAATATTCCTGCGGTTCTCAAGTAACATTTTAAATGCTTTACTTATAAGCTGAGGGAGGTCATGAAATATTTTACCTCCGAGCCCTTATGTTTTTTACAGGTATCTGATTATTTTAATTTAGTTCAGGTTAATTTAAAAATTTGGGTATTGCTAGTGCAATAACGATTTTCCTTGTACACTGTGATTGAACAGCAACTTTGTTTTAATTTTAAATTGACGTACCCCAAGACTAAATGGTTCCATCTTAAAGTTAATTTTTTAATTCTTGGAAGCAAATTAAAAGGGGGGGGTTAGTAGTCAAATAATGATTTCAAGTTATTTTTTTGAAGTAATTTTTTTCGATTTAGGATTCTACCTTCAGGTTCTATCTTCACGTTACATCTGGTAAATCGGTAATAGCCAAGCACCTGCGTAGGTGGTTTTTCCTTTTCACTATAATATTTACTGGAATCTATTTAGCTGTTAGCTGGGGAGGGGTATACAAAATAATTTTCTTAGCCTGTCCTCCAGGACTTCTATTTATTTTTTTTATTCTTGTTGCTTTTTATTTCATTTCCTAGTTTTTGAAATCAAGTGGCGCCCAAACCACAACCGCTTTGCATCCAAAAACCAACGTACAAAGAACCTCACACTGAGGTCTCATATCGACCAACTGACGACTGTTTACGCGGGATAACAAAATTTTCTTTCTTTTCATGCCTTATTTTTTGGGGGGCAAAACCATCACAGTCGACTTAGCAGGATTCAGCTGTAAATTATTAGCATAACTATCTATGACTTTAAATCTTTATTAAGCTCCTCTTGAGCTTGGTGAACATAATCGCAATCAAAGTGGTGATAAAGCTGGGTATCATCTTCGCATATCCCAAGAGAAACAGGAGTGGCCCAAATATAGACTCTTGGGGTAGACCAGAATTCAGAGGGCATACGCACCGCACGATTATGCACAGACTTCAACGTCCCAAGTTATAGCCAAAAATCATCGGGTACACTTACCATTGTGCTGTAGGCTTTGTTTGCATGTTCTTGACTGCGCCAGGGACAGGTACTCCTAAAGTGACGTTTAGCAATGGCGTTGGCGAACTCATAGCATGGGAGTTGTACTTGTAGTCAATTTTTAGGTCTGTGTGTGAACTACTGCATTTCCAATAAGCAACTAATTGGAATGGACACGAGTTTGCACCTGGTTTTGGTTTTATCTGAAATAAACGCATATTCTAAGCTAAGATGTTTGTAAATAAAGAACTTGAAATTGTAGCACAAACATCTGGTTATAGTTCTTTCCACGGTTTTTGACGGTTTACGTCACAATACCATAAGTAATAAGTAAACAGGTTGACTAATAATAGCATGTGCATAGCTAAACTTTCCTAAGAGAATATACACATTGCACAAGCTGATCCGTAATACAGCTGATACTCAATCTTGCACACACACTGGAAGGGGGTGTTTTCACTCTCTTTTTGAAGATACAGGCTTTTGACTTTCAGGCCCTACTATGTTTTATATATAAAATCAACATAAGTAAACACAAGTCACATTTCCTTGACAAGCATGTTGTCATACTGAGAGTGACGCATATCAATGTGGAAGTCGCATACCTTGGCGAATTTTCAAACTCAAAAACGTATGTCTTTGAGACACACACACACACACACACACACACACACACACACACACACACACACACACACACACACAGAGAGAGAGAGTGAGATTTTGAATACATTTCATGTATATCATCCTATACGTAATTCTGACCATTTTCGAATCTATCTCAAATTTTGCGTAAAAAACGCCCTGCCATATTTTTTATATCAAAGCAGCCACGTAGACAAAAGCCTAAATACCAGTGCACCACGGCTGATATGACGAGGTTAAAAAAACTTTGCAAACCCAATTTTTCAACTGCTTAAGGTTTGCAGAACTGAGAAAAACCGTCTCAGGTAGATTGTTCTGCATTCTCGACACCGTGGGAACAAAGGAACGGTCGTAGCGACCAGTTCTGGATGCAGAAAGTTCGAGTGAGTTAGGATGAGAGGCAGAAGAAGTTGCTTATTTGACCAACTGTCGGCCTATTTGTGCAAAGCCGATATGTATATTTATTTCGTATGACTTCTTGACGTAACCACCAAAAACCGTAACTTCATTCTCAGTAAAAATGTAGCATTTTATAAATATTTTATGGCAGCTTGGCAACACCGCCTCAGTAGCCATGTAGCTCGCTGTTTTTATTTGTAAACCAGTAGTCGTCCCAGTACTGATATGGAATGCTAAAAACTATACAAATCGTACACATTTTGATACAAGACAACAAAGTCGGCAAGTTTGCTGGTTAGCATGCGTCTCACCATGTGACTGGATAAGTTTACGCCAGAGTTATATGACGCAAGTCAGGAGGATTAGATGCAAACGGTATTATAATCATAACGGAAGCGTGGATGCAAGATCTTTGGCATTGGTCACTTACCTGGTATTTTAGTATGTCAACATTGAAATATGAAGCACTAGGGTTCTGCTCAGACTGTTTTTTGAGTAAGGAGCTTAATGCTGACATGTTAAACTCAACCCCTATATAATCGCCAGCTGATTGTCCACTATCACTGAAAACAAAAAATAATAAAACCACGATATGTTATCACTTCTGCGGCAGTTTTGGCTATTTAACCGGAGTAAGCTTGCCTGTTAGTGCGGTCTTTTGAAGTATGTAGTTTGTATTGTGAAGCACCACAGCTGATCATACTTACATATTAACTAACTGCTTATTAGGCAAAATACTAGTCAATCTCTGAGTATTCTTCACTCGAAAAGCCAGTTTGGCAGGATTCGGATTATTTGCGAGGATTGTAACGATTCCAGCTGGGAACGACAGCATCATTTCACCCGACATTTTTGCTTGACACCTAAAAAAGAACCGTACATGTCAGTATTTTTCAGAACAGAGAACATTGAAGATAATGTGGAGAATAGTACTTCTCAGGCCTAAGCAAATAAGCTAGCTTTTTTCCGGAAGCTGCAGATCAAGTCCTCGGTGATCTGGACCCCGACGAGCCCAAATGAACGGCTCTTTGGCAGAATGAATGAAACATAAGATTAGAGACATACCGGCCACCAGAAGGAGCCAAAGCATAGGCCACTTGCGTACCTCTACATTCCTTAGACCTCAAGCCTCGCCATTCTAGCGAAGTTGAGTATGGCCTTGAGTCCAAGCTCCTTAACATCCGGGGGTCCAAAGTGATGGACCCAAGTATAGTCTGCCTGTAGTAGCTAAGAGCCTTTCGCAAGAGCGCAAACATTTCCGCCTGGACAATAATGGTGTATTCACCAAGAGGCAGAGACAGCCTAGTTCTAGGCTTCTCCAGCCTACCGACCAGACTGTGTAAGGCCAGATCAGTCGGTTTCCCAGCTCGGTATGCAAACTGATTGGAATGGATGACACACGGCCATCCCTCAAAAATCTGTCAACTATCCTTCGGGCCGGTATATCTAGCTATGCCTGGTTTTATTATAAATACCACGTTAGGCTACCGTCAGCTTCTAGTTGTGGAACCTGTGGACACACATGCTCGAAACACCTCCAACAGGTGAATAACAACCGAATCCCGCCCATGCTGTACGGCGTAAACGAATCGATCGCCCATACCATCTTTCGAAGGTAACTACTTGGTAGAACTCGACCATCCATCGAAACCGGATGAGCACTAGAACGCTTTTGGTTCGTGAAGCTAAGTACTGTGTTTCAGAAGCACTAAATTGTACAAGATTGTTAAGGCCTAAAAGCAGTGATAATGACCAGGTCTCTCGTCAGAGAAGAAGTTGCTGCTTCTTTTTACCAGCTCACTGGCAGAGATCAGCTTATCGCTCTGGAGTCCTGCATGTAGAGTAGTTCTATTATTATTTAAAAAGCTTCTGGTCTCGGTAATACTGCGCATCTGGTCAGTTTAAGTACACGTCTTGAGTTTCGACTTGCTTGTTGACGGCAGTAAAGTGTCATCCCTTTTCGAGTAGAATTTGTGTCATAGAATAGACTTGACAAATTTTTTTTCTGTTATGAATGCGCGAAGTTATTTGTTTTCTAAGATAGACTAATCTGTCGCCCTTTCGTTTTGGCAACTACTGCTACCACTCTGAGTTATGTGAACGGATACAAAAAAGCCCATACATTTTATCCAGCCAGTTATAAATGTGTAAGTTGACTCTATATCTCACACACAACTGCTTTAATCGGTCTTTTTGAATCATACTTATAGGAAATAAACTGATGACAGAATTGAGTGGGGATTACAGAGTCAAGCAGCTCGACGTCATTTTTTTGAAATTACCTCGTCTCATCAGCACCTCTAAAATACGAATGCACTATTTCGTGAAAGGCCACAGCTAGTGGGATTGTGTCAGCCATTCCGATAGTTAAAGGTGATGGACCCCTTGACACTCCCATTGGTATACAAGCTGTGCGAAACTCTAAGCTATTGATACTATCTGCCCTAGTTATACTGCTCTGTCCTGAGAAAAAAAAAATAATATTAATTTCAATTGGAACATTAGTTATTGTAAACATGAAGATTACTGGTGTGCTCCTAATGTCAAACTACAAAAATAACACCAGTTAATCCAGTTGTATTGTAATTACCCTTATGCTCACCTATTATATTTCTAGAAGCTTCAGATCTTCGTGATGGAGGCCTTGGTATGGACATGTACCCTGATGTTGGTGTAGGGGTTTGACGTGTACCCTGCTTCGAAGGCGGCTGTTGAAGCTCCTTGTCTTCGGAAAATATATCACCTAGTTCTTAAAAGAACAATGCATTTTAATTTATTGACATCAACTTTGTATACTATAATTTAAATCAATTTTAATATTAAGCTCTAGACGATAGATACAAAGTGGCTAAAGAAATAAGAAACATTTTGTTATTTATAGTCAATGCGGGACCTAATCGAACAGAGCTTCGCTTAAATAATATAAAAATCTTAGTTGTTCCCTTTAATTCTATACCAGATTAACAGCCACTTGACGAAGCGATTATAAAGAGTTTTAAAACTTATTAAGGAACTTTAATACTCAAACACCTGCTAGTGAACAATGAAACTGCTGGTACAGCTTTTGAATTAATAAAGGAAACAGTGCGAAATTGCTTCCGGAAATGCAGGATTTAAGCATGAAAATATGTAAAGTGAACCTGACGCACAAGATGACTATCACTTAATGTACTTTCAGATATCCTTAAAAATGAGAATTTATTGAAATTGACTGATAATGAAAACCTTTATGATTTTTTGAACCCAGATGAAAGTCTGTATGTTGAAGATGCATATTCAGGCCAAGAAATTGAAAATCCAGTTGAAATACAAGAAGATTCTGATGTCGATGAGGTTCCAGTACCACCAGAAGCTATTCCAAATTATGGTAAAGCTATTACCCTGACCCAGCAGTTCAAACGTTTTGGCGAAAATCAGGGAGTTTTTTTATAAATTAGAAATACGATTTCAAGATGCAATTTTAAAGAAAAAAAAGGAGACAAACGATAATATATGAATTTTTGCGTCCTTAAAGTGACTTTTTATTTCATTGTTTATGTGTATATTAAATATATATGTACGTACATACTTTATCTAAAGGTAACAAACCTTTTTTTTCTTTAGTTTAAAGTGTTTTGCCCATTTTAAAAACATTTATATACATATAAGTTTTAAATGTAGCAGTCTAATTAAATTATCCAGTTTTCATTAAAAAAACGATTTTTGTTGTATTTCTTTTATACGGACACACCTCTTGAGCGCACACTTTCAGTTGGTCCCATTGGTGTCCATCCAAAGGACATTTTACTGTATGTCCACGATAATGATAAACGATATTAGGCACATTCACGAGATGACAGTTTCATCAGCCATTATAAAGTGCAAAGTAAAATAATTATAGTGATTTTTATTGCCCCAGACCCCTATTTTCCATTGCTCGATCTTTTTGGTGGGTTGTGAAACATGACTATTTGGCACGGAGCATAGCACTACTTCTGGAAACTTGTACTTTGTATTGAAGGTTCCATGAGAAACGTGTATATTTTTGAATTCACTTATTTTCTAACAGTTCAAATGCTGTAAGCCTCTTGGCAATAAATGTCAATGTCAACTTACCTGCGTATCTGGAAGACACTGATAACGTAGGCGAATTCAACGCCAACTGCGATGGACTCTGCAACGGAGCATACGGATGCGAGCTAGTCGGAGTGGAAGCATTCGAGGCCGTAGGGCTCTGAACGAAGCTTAGGCCTAGCAGATCGCTACTGGGCTTCCCCAGTTGCTGCGACACAGACTGCGAACGTTTCATGGAAGCATCGTGCTCTGGGTTTGCGCCACGTGCAAAGCCCCCTGTAGGGGATATGTAGAAGTTTTCTACAGTGGCACGCAGTTCGTCTACAGATGCGGACATCGGAGCCGAACCGTTGTTCAGAGGTTTTATTTCTACGTGTAGCTTGCGTTCCCTCTCATCATCTGCAAAAAAATATTTTCTACTAAGCTAAGAAATCATCGGTGTTGGCCGCATTTCTATAATGAGAGATAGCTCTTTTTTCCCAAACAGTTTCAATTTCAAATTAGACTCCAAAACATCAATCATATCCCAAATCATCAAAGTATACAAGTTTCATTTGGCTGTCATAATGGGAGACAAAAATTGATATTTGATACAACGTTGTTTTGTGCTTTTTGGAAATCATGAGTATGGTATAGACCCAGTCATGTATGCCAAATAGTACTACTTTTATCAAAACGCCGAGTAGCGGGTATCCGGCCGAGTCATAAAAACTACTAGTATCACTCACCAGAATCGGAATCAGACGATGAGTAAAAACTTCCTTTCTCACTATTCCAATTATGACTAACGTTTGGTCTAATGGTGTAACCATCTTCATCAACTTCTTGTGTAGATGGTTCTATGGTGCTATCTAACGTCCTTTGGTTTTTCAGAGAATCTTCCTTCTCCTCCCTATGAAATTATTCAGTTAATTTTCGTCAAAACTAACGACCACCAATTGGCTTGGAGGGTTATATCTTAAATTGACTCATTTTTTACTGGAGAGTACCTATGAATGTTTGTAAAATTTTAGGGTCCTAGGTCGGTTTGCTCTGAAAACGCACGCAAAGTTTGAAGGTTCGGAAAAATGCGATTTTTAGCGTTTTGACAACTTTTCCATCTTCTCTCTACTCCTGATCTTGTAAAGCATTGGGCCCGATAATATATGGCTATTTCGAAATAAAATCGCCCAAGGAACTCAAAAATGACATTCAAATTGCGATCTGGTAATTCGTTTCGCAGATATTTAAGTCAAAATAGATTTTTTCGAAATGTTTGTGTTATATTGGGCTGACAATGAAAAGATACCTTCGCAAAATTATACAACCAGAGTTACACCATCATGTATTGCAGCTTGCGGGGTACTGGAGAAGCTTCGAGAGCGATCGCGTTCACGTTCGTGAGCGATCGAAAGGGTTCGGTTGCCATCGGGAGCGTTCGAGAAATATCGAGCGAATTATCTGGAGAGCTTCTGGGTTGATAGATTTCAAAATATATGGGCGCAACGACAGTCGAAGGATACACAGTCGAGTCATGGTTGTAAATATATCATGCAAGTGTTACAAGTTAGTGTAGAGAAATAAATTAGATTATGGACAGTAACAGTTGTGTTTTCGTTACATCATTTTTTTCGTGAAGGATAAAGTCCAAATTATCCGCTTATATGGACTGAATTTTGTACTCGGGCGATTAAATTCGTCGAATAGGCCTTTGGATCCAATTTTCGATATTTTGGCTTAGTATTTGAAATTGAGATTTTTTCGAACTGAAAAGTATTATATGGAAATATAAAATATAGCGTTCTATTTAGGAAATTTTATGTACTTTTTTAATATCTGTCTGATGCTACAAAAAAAAACAGAAACAGCTGGGTTTTGAAGAGATTGGTGTCATCGCTTTCACTTACAGGTCAGATTTTTCTTCTTTGTTACTTTGGTTATCAATACTGTCCTTATTCTTCTTTTTAGATTTCTTCTGCTTGGCTTTGTCTCGCCTACTTCGCAAGAACCCTAAAATGGACACGAAAACCTATTACAGAATATTAAAAAAGGCACAGCGTATTTTTGGGCAATGAAGGCTATACTCGTTGGAACGCACAAGGCAATATTCTTTCGATCGTATTTTTTTATAATCGTTAAAAAAATATTTAGTACCTTCTGGTAATGATGACCAACAAAAAACTGCCAATGGGCCTAACGTTTTTTGATGAGTAGTTTCTGAGATACAATGTCTTCAAGTTGAGCAGTCTGTACCCTGTTATACCATACCTGTATTGTGGTTCAGAATATTATATGTAATAGCTGTTCGATATTTATTTACGTTCTTATCATCTCTCATAGTGTTCGGTTTATCAACAATGTAATTCTGTCATATGAACAGGGTGTCTGTTCAAGATTATCCTGCACAATCCCTGTGGTGATACACTTCAAGTATATCCAGGATTATATAGGATATATCGACTAATGACCTGGACCTTTTTTGATTGATTTTATTACATATGTATTTGGAAATAGTTGACTAGTTGTCAAGATAATAATTATCTTGTCTAAACAAAATGAAAGAATGGCATTCACTACCTTGACTTCTTTAATAGAAAAGTACCTAAGAATCTTCAGTTGCTACGTAGTTTAACGATTCCTTGAATTGTTCTAGTCAATTAGTCGTATAGGGTATCCGGTTATAAACTGACCCTCCCCCTCTGACTTTTTTATATGACCATCTAGAAGAAAAAGTTATGGGGTCTAATATGAAGTTTTTCATGTAATTGTCTCATAAAAGTGCTATCGAATAAAGTTTTATTTTTTTAAATGTGAATTTTCAGTGAAAATGATAGACCATGTTTTCTGGTGCCGAATATACAGGGTGTCCGCAAAGTTGGGGTTTTCCTTTTCAGAAACAACTACCCTTGAAATAACAAAGGTAATGTGTAGTGAAACGAGGGCGACCAAGTAAAAAAAAAATAAAGGAAAAAGTACTCACTCTTCAGTTGACGAGAAGGGCTAAGTACGTCTCTGCCCGAAATCATACCGCTCCAACAGAAAATGAAATCAGCTGAAGCGCTACCGAGCAGACGCAGAAACCACATTGATTGTCTTACACTTAATGGCACATCTTCTAACAAGGAAGGCAAAATGTTGCGTGAAAAGTCTAGGTATTGCATCCCGTCCAATCGATTTGGGAGAATAAATGGTCCAATGAGCATACCGTTCACCATGCCAGCCCAAACATTCACCGAAAATGTTTGTTGAAAATGACCAAACATGAGTGTTGCGAAAGTTATTCACCCCATTACGCGTGAACGTAGATTCGTCTGTCACCAATATGCACTTCAAAAAGTCCAGATTATTGTCATGTTGATGCAACAACCACTCACAAAATCGCACTCTTGCTGGAAAATCGTCAGGTTGAAGGGCTTGTACACGTTGGACGTGAAACGGATACAGCCCCTCTTCACGCAGCGTTTGCCATACTTTAGTTTTTGATACTTGCACTTCTCTAGCCACGTCTCTAGTGCTTGTTGTTTTTTCAAACGCAATCGATTATACGAGTTCGTTTACCTCTACACGCGTGACCGTAACCTTCGGTTGAAGGTTGCATACTAACCTGACACACTGACCCCGACCCAGTTCTGCCGTCGGGTTGAGACCTTGTAACAGTCGGGGATATCGCGGCGGGTCGCGGATACAGGACGGTATTCAGATATTTTTGATGTTGCAGAGCCCTTTATCTCGGTTCCCTTAAGACATTGGTGTATATGGTACTAAGAAAAATTGCGTATGTTTTCAAGATCTACACGTCGTGTAAAGGAAAAGCCCAACTTTGCGGACACCCTGTATATTGTTTATTGTACTTTTTTTATTACTGTAGTCAAAAAAATCGAAGTGTGTGTGTCATTTAATCATATGTATCCCGGCCCTAAGCCAGATTGCATAGGCGGCTAGATTCAGACTGCTCCGATCTCGGATAAATAAGTTATGCAGGTACAGCCTTCATTGGTGTGGTGATTGCAAATGTGATTAGGTAGAAAAACGGATAGGTGTGCTACAACAGACTTGCCAACACAACGCCATTGAGGTACGTAAACAGAAATACATGCACACGTGAAAACTACATACAGTGTATTAATGTTACACAACTCAAGTGTGATAAGGTGTGCAAATGACAAAACTGGTTGAGGCAGTGCTGCCAGTTACACTGATTTGCAATCCGTATAGCTGTTGAGTTGTATAGCATTAGTGGTAAAAGACTGTACACAAAGTAAGGATAAGAATGGTGTAAAAGCAGCTACGGGATGATGGAAAGAGGAAATATACCTTCACCAGAACTTAAAATGCCATTTATGCTAGCTGATATTTTTATATACTGGGTTTAACTGGCATTTATAGTGGTTGATTCAATTAAAGGCACTTAAAAGCATAAAAAAATAAAAACAGTCGTGTTGGATTATCTATATTATGAAGCAGGAAGCATCAATGACATTCCTTTTCTAAACATGTTCAAATCTTGGCCATCATCACTGTGAATAATGTACGAGGTCTGTAAATTCGATCAGACTGGCAAAGTAGCGTTAGATCTGGCAGCACTGAACGGAAGACGGGGAATATGTAAGCCACCTTCAGTATAAGTTTGAACTCACACCACCGTTCATCACATCAAGAACAACTGGGTGTTACATCACGATAAAGCTCCTTCAGGCAGCAATATCAATAAACGAGTTTTTTGGCCAGTAAACACATTCCTGTGGCACCTCAGCCTCTTTAGTCGCTTGACTTGAGTCCTTGCGACTTTTTTCTCTTGCCGAAATTGAAAAATCACCTCGAGAGAACTCATATTGGGTCAGTCGAAAGCATCCAACGGCTATAAGCGACCAGCTGAAGGCTATTCCAGTATCGGAGCTTCAGCACTGCTATGTGGCTTCAGAAGGAAGTTATTTTGAGGGTGACAATATATAATTTCAGTTATATGTGGATAAAGAAATTAAAACAAATCAGTATCATCACTTAATTTACAGACCTCGTAGTCCGTTTTGGAATTCCAATTTTCAAAGACGGATTCGCGCATTTCGGATTAAGAGAGTACTGTTAATTTCAATCGTATTCTCTTGTTCATACAAGGATTGTCTCAAAAATAAGGTTCCCAAGGCTGTATCTTTGCCGCGCGTGATGCTAGGCGGAACCTGCCAACACCGTAGTGTTTGTCGGTTCCCCCACCATCGATCCCAACAAGAAGCGCCTATTTGCGATGCTCAGTACCGGCCCGACAGCCATGCGCAATGGAGCTCTCCATCGCCGTCGCCGCCAGGTGTGAAATTCGTGCAATCATCCGATTTTTGCACGCAAAAACATTACCATCCATAGAAACTCATCGCCACTTGAGTGAAGTATATGGAAAAACGTGTATAAGCATTCAACATGTCCACAAATAGTTAAAAAGAGAGGGCAAAGAAGCAGTAGGCCGTCGATTTCCGAGGAAGTTGTGGCGAATATTGAGAGAATGTTGCTCGAAGATCGGCGAATCTGGATCCGGGAACAGGCGGTTGAAATTCCAGAGGCTTCTGAAAAAGCCGAGACCGCGGATTTCACGTCTAAGAAAAAATGCGTAGAGAAAAATGGCGACTATGGAGAAAAATAGGTCAAAGATCAACGTTTCCAATGGTGAATTCGTCTTTTCAAATAAAAAAATCCTTGTGTCTGAAAGAAATGTGGGAACCTTATTTTTGAAACAAGTCTCTAATGAACACAGCTCCAAAGGAAAACAGTCTATAGGTGTTAAATCATACGGCATAACTGACCAATCTATCGGTTCGAAAACAAGAATTCGCCAACTGTGGTCGCAGTAGAGCCGTGGTTTCAAGCTGCGCCGTATCCTTGTTGAAATAAAATGTTCTGAAAAGCTAGGTGTGTATTATGATACGAAAGCGGTCACTAAATACCAATAGGAATGCTTGGAGGCGTCTTCGAAAATTGAATTCCAGAACAGATCACATAATGACCCCAGTAACAACCGATTTTTTCTTTATTTCTGAAAGATAACCCAATAAAGTTGATTGTTTTTACTTTTTTCTTTTTTTGAAAAATTACCTCTATATGAATCACCCGTTGCAAGATCACAATACCCAAAAAGGTGGCAATATTTGTAGGGCACGTTTGTAGAAATTCTACTGATGTATTTTCTGACATAAAAATAGTGACACCTATCTTTAATATTGTAAGACAACAAGCTCGGTTGATACTATTGTCACAGTATACTTGTAATACTACACAGCAACGAGACCCTCGGTGATATGGAAGGCTCGCATATCGCATTACGCGCAAAATATCGGACCATCTCACTTTTAATTCGGCTGCCAAGGAGAACAGATCATTTGAAACTTTTATCCCTTGGATGGCTACACATGACACGATTGCGCGCGGCAGTTTCTCGCAGCGTGTGTCGAGCTCTCAAGATTATATTCTTACAAAGTGTAATTTTTAGAAGGTCGTGCTGCTGTATAGTTTTTTACACATGCTAAGTTATTGCCACCCATATCTTTTGGCTTTTGGAGATTGTGAACTTAGATTCGTGACTGGACTAGATAATTGACCGAAATACATTTAAAAATAAATAAAAATTACACTTGGATCCACGATGAGATTGCCGAGTCAGCTGTTGTTCCTCAGGAGTTGTCGGACTTGAGGGAGCGCTGCAAGGGCCTGCCCTACTTTCACGAGACCCTAAAACAACAGCCCAACCTCCTGTTAAAACATCCAGAGCTTTTCTAGTCATCCATTCAAGCTGTTCCAGAGAAATGACCATCAGAACATACAGGGCGCTTTACGTCGAACGTCAGCATATATAAAACGACACAGCAAAGCAACTCCCAGCAGGGTTCGCACATCGCATATGTTTTATTATGCTGATCATCCCGTCAGCACACTTTCACTTCTGCTGCCGAGGAAAACTAATTAAAACATGTGCACCGAGCTCTCCAGGTCATAGAAAGGATGATGCAAATTTTAATCCATTCAGAATTATACAATACTACTAAAAATGAGTTATACCAAGAGTCAAAATATTGTTTACATCATGTATATTAATTTTCACGAATATCCTTCGCATTTTGAGGTCTACTAAGCTACACAGCAAGTTGCATATCTGGACTTCGCTAACAGCTTTCTCGGTTACCCTATCATAATTAATGAATACTTTTTTATTTTTATTACTAAATGTCAAGTTGAAATACTTTATCATTGTTCTTCATTTATTTATACATTTCTCTGTGTAGACATATGTAACACAAAACATCCATTTTACTTGACATTTTGCTGACCTGACCGGACAAAGAATAATAACAAGCGTCATCGTAGTTCTACATGTATCGTCTTGTCATTATCCTTTGTCTGATCGGGTCACCAAAAATCTCAAGTAGTATAGATTTTTGTGTGACATTTTTTATGAGGTTGTTGAAAGAAAAAACGCCGAGACACGTCAAAAATGTTGTCAAGAGGGACAACTTTTTAACCAAAAACTGCTCCACCCTCTTTCACTATCGGTCCCCCGGGTCATTCACTTGAACATTTTAAATGACAAGGGGTATCGAGTAATAGCTTGTTTGAAAGGTCTTTAAAAAAAAGTCCTTTATTGTGTCGTTTGATTTTTCAAAATCGGTCGATGCGTTTTCAAGAAAATTGGAAAATTCTTTATTTATCTTAATTTGTTCAGATAGAAAACAAAAGCACACGAAAAAATCACTTTTTATTTCAATAAATGTTCAACAGGTTGCCCGTTATTGCAACGTTCAAATTCCTGACATTTTCCGTTGACGAAGTTCATCCAAACTTTCAGGTTGGGGAGTAAACACAATAGATTTCAAATGGCCCCATAGAAAAAAGTCTAATGGCGTCAAATCATGAAATCTAGCAGGCCATTCTATAGGCCCTCTTCGTCCTATCCATTTATCTGGAAACTCGTCGTCTAGCCTTTGCCGATCCGGAAAGCCATAGTGAGGAGGAGCGCCGTCTGGCTGGACATAAATTTCAGCCTCATCAAGTATAGGATTTCCATCCTCTTTGATTTGGTTTGCAATGGTTTCAGTGATGATATTTTCCAACTTCTGCAAATAAATGTCTCCATTCAAATTTCCATTAATAAACAATGGCCCAATCACTTTGTTTCCTAAAATGCCCATACATTAATTTTTTGGGGGTACTGGGTATGCCCTTCTACAAAAGCATAAGGATTTTCATTGCTCCAATACCTGCAGTTGTGCTTATCAACAAATCCGTTTAGATAAAATGTGCATTCATCACTGAAGCAGATATTCTTTACATGGATGGTATTATCATGAATCGCTGCAGTCATTAGAATCATTTCCACTCTTCCGGCTAGTGTGTGAACCATTTTTGAAGTAAAATCTGAATCGATCAATTAATTTTCACTATCCCAAGATTGTCACAAAGGTAACTGACAGCAAATTAAATTCTTTCTTTCCCTTAGCAACAAATAACTAAACAGGTATAACAATACATACAGTTTGCCCAGGATATCTGTGTTGATGAAAAGAATGCGGAAAATTCGGGTTGTTATTTGGTTGTTTTGGTGTTTTTGTTTTCTATCTGAACAAATTAAGATACATAAGCGTCTCGGCGCTTTTGCTTTTAATCAGTGTTTTTGATAAATCCGTGGTAGGAAGTTTTCACATGAACACTCTGTATATATACTAAGTGACATATAAATCCGAACACCCAGTTTAAATGGTTTTATTTTAATAAAAGTTGGTGAATGTATTACTGTAAATAACAAGTGAAAAAATTTTCAGCCTTATCAGTTGGACATTCCGGTTTTTATACTGCTTTTTTTTTTAATTCACTAACGCTCTAAAAATGAATATTTCAGCCGCAGTAAAGAATCAACGTTGGCGGATTTTGGTTCTTGACATCCTTTACGATCGGTTACGATGCCTAGAGTACGGAGACCTGTACGATTTCGTCAACTTAGCGAGTTTGATAGGGGCCGTATAGTGGGACTTCGGGAAGCTGGCCTTTCTTTTCGGGAAATTGCAGTTAGAGTGCAAAGAAGTGTAGACACTGCGGTTAGGTGTTGTCAGGCATGGCTTCGAGAAGGCCGTACGCAAAGAGCAAGGGGCACTGGACGCCGCCGTAGAACAACAGAGCGTGAAGATCACCGCCTAAGATTATTGGCCTTAAGGGACCGTTTCTCCACTACCAGGTCCATTGCAAATGAATGGTTTGCAGAACCCGGAAGACCTATTGGCATGCGAAGTGTTTACCGACGAATGAGAAGTTTTGGCTTGTTTTCATACCGGCCACACTGGGTCCTCCCTTTAACTCGAGAACACCGACGTAATCGCCTTGAGTGGTGCAGACAACGGTCACTCTGGGATCAGGAATGGAACAGTATTGTCTTTAGTGACGAGTCTCGATCTTGTTTAGGCATGCACGATGGTCGTGCCAGGGTTAGAAGGCGACGTGGTGAAAGGAGGAATCCACAGTTTTTTGTTGGAGTTATGGTTTGGGGTGCTATAGCTTGTGGTTCCAGGTCACCTTTAATCTTCACCAGAGGTAACATGAACGCGCAGCGTTATATCCACGAAGTTCTAGAGCCCCATCTTTTACCCTATCTTGACACCCTGGCAGATCCAACTTTCCAACAAGATAATGCCCGACCACATGTTGCAAGAGTCACAATAGACTTCTTTCAACATAATGATGTCACATTGAGCACGTGTGGGATATGATGGGTAGGAGATTGCTCAATTTGCAACGTCCTCCTCAGACTCTAGAAGCACTTCGAGAGGAGTTGGTGTTTGCCTGGAATGAGATACCACAGGAGGACATTGACCACCTGATCAGAAGCATGCCTAGGCGCGTTGGAGAATGCGTAGCACATCAGGGTGCATCCACACATTATTAAAGGTCAAAGGGCTTTAAAGCAGTGCAATCATTTTGAAATTTTTATCATTTACTTATTATGCTTCATTAAGTACTTATACAAAATTTTATTAAAATAATACCATTTAAACTGGGTGTTCGGATTTATATGTCACTTAGTATAGTTAAAAACAGTTTTCAGTTATAACACGATTTGACACTTAAAACTAGGTTTGACTATGTGCCTATGTTAAGCAATTAATTCTGGTCCTATAATTTCACGGGTTTGGAACACAGACGTTTTATTAATCTGATAATGTATTTGAATTTAAAACTCGAACCACAATCCTAATCAACAACCCAAACGGTTTGGTTTTCGCTTTAGGATTTGCGTTAAGTTTTGGGAATTGATTTGACTTTTGGTTTGGGTTTGGCCTATTCTAAAACTCAATGCAAAACAGGCTTAAATTTATTGTAGTAGCCCGGCAGGATACCTGAAACGAAGTCTGACGGAACGCGTTTTGTCTAGTTAGAACTGGTTTGAACTAAAATTCATTTTTAAGCAGCAGTTCTAGTTTTGACAAAAACACTCAGTCAAAACTAGTTTCAACTGTGCAAAACGCGTTATAATTAAGAACGGATTTTGGCTGTAACATGCATATAAAGCACTGTATAATTCTGAAAGGACTAAGATTTGAAACTAGGCTCCATAATAACTTCTATTTAGCGCAAAAAACTACCCAATGACACACACCACACGTAGCTATTGGAGGTGGGTACTACATTCCACACAATCTCTGGAATCATAATTTGTCAGAAATTCATCATAATATTTACGGAGTCGCATACGCTGTGTCGGAAGCAAAGGTTTTTTATAGTATATTAATATCCTTTCCTTTGAAAGGATCAATCCGAATATATGATAAAATATGTAACATCACATTTAAACAGATTGTCATTTTTCAAAATAAAATGTCTCTCGTATTTCATTGCATATTTGGATGAACCATTGCAATGGAAGATTGATATACTATAGCATTTTAATAATCAGTTATTGAATTATAAGCGATTCAATTACCCAAGGTTGACAGCCCGCTAGTCCGCCATTTCGAAAGATAGTAAATTTATATTCTAGGGTTATAAAGTACCGATTAGGAGATTCAAAATAATATATCACGTGACACTCATTTAATGAATGTTTCAAGATGGCACCCAGCTGCCATGTTGAAATCGTCAAGCGACACTTTTACGGTGGAATATAGTATTCATGTGTCGATTCTGAGCAAGTAGGTACGATCTGATTTTCATCCTCATACCATTGATGAAGATGAGAGAAGACCCCTACGGCTCATAATAGCTCGGCGTTCTGCGCTATGCACAAGTAGATGTCGCACCACCATCACGGTCGATCGGTCAAGACTAGGTATTTACAAAGCAAACTAGCAATGGTCTATGCATATACTTCTCTTAAAAACGGCCCCCCTACTTATTTTTTAACAGGTCAAGTTAGCAAGCTGAAATTGGAGGTAATGGAATTGATACATCTCAAGATGGCGGCTTGTCGCCATTTCGGAATATTTTCTCAAACAGAATGGGGGTCATGTTTGATTGTTTGAATCTCTTTACGAGAACTTTATAATCCTAGAATATAAAATCACCATCCATAAAAATGGTGAGCTGGCATGCTTATAAACTTTTGTACACTGAGTCACTTATAAATCAACAACCAATTATTATGATATTTCATATCATATCTTCTCCTTAGCGTCGTATCGTTAGTCGTTTCTAGAATTGTAGGACGCCTTTATACCTCCTTGTTTTTCATAGTTTTCTACTGTTCCTTGTCAGCGCTCTATTTTGAGATTATGTTACAAATATCTATCTGCATCAAACTGTTCATGTTTTTGATTTATAACATGTTATATTAGCCTGAAATTTCGCAAAATTCAAAAAGAAAACAACCTCACAATATGAGAGCGCTAAAGCTGGCCAGTAGGAATCTAGAAATACTCCTGCCTTTCTGAAGGAGAGAGAAAACTGTGAGAATCAAGGAGGCCATAAAAACATCCTACAATTAATGTAGGAACGACCGACGATACGGCCCTTAGATAGAACCTTACAAAAGGAGAACAATGATATAACATATGATAACGTTCTGATGATTAGTTGCAAGAGTTATGAGCTGTTCAATGTGCAGAAATGATCAACCTTAACAGTCTGCCAGTCCGCCATTTTGAAAGATAGTGATTCTAGGTTTTTAAGGTACTCATTAGGATCTTCAAAATGGCACAACCCCCAGTCCAGTTAAAACATTGTTCCAAAATAGTGCCCGCTGCTATTTTGGAGTTTTCAGCTGTCACTTTTACGTTAAAATACGTTCTAAAAATAAATAGGGGGGGAGGGACACGTTTCCGAAAATCACTGTATCTGCGTACATAGACACAGGCTGAAATGGACGTGCTTGCTTTCCGTCTTTGTACCCATGACCAGCCGCAGACAGCGACGTTTCGTGCGCTTTAGCAACTCATCAGTGCGGTCTTGTCTTGGACACAGGCGAACAGGAAGCAAAGTGGGTATGATTCAATTACATGACCCCAAATTTTGGCTTGCTAAGTTGACTTGTTCAAAACGTAATTGGAGAAGGTGACATTCAAGAAAATAATTGGCTGATAGAACGTACATTTCTTGTCATTCCTCTGAAACATTGAACAGAATATTCCTTAAACAAAGCCCAGAATGGTAGAGGCACCAGGTGAACGTACCCTGGGAGTTAGACATGAAGAGATTTAGGAGAGAGGTGGTTCTGCGCGATGGTTTGGCATGTGTTGGCACAGACTGGTCTGTATGACCGTTACCTTCACGTTTTGTTGGTTTTGACTCCGACTCGAGTGTGGGAGAAGTCACCGGCTCTTCCACCTCCAACAGACCTGCAATAAGTTAAAATATAATATTTGAGGCTTCCAGTAAGGGAATTGTAAAAACCCATACATATCTGCAATCTAAATGGAAACTGCCACTCGATACGGCCATATTTGAATTCAGCAAAATCTCATTTAACTATGATCTTCAAGGTCATTTGCTGGTCAAGACAGTTTTCTTAAACGGAAACCAATATTTTTGATACTGGAAGTGCAAAGAGCGGGAGCTTTTACGTTCAAGTATATCTGTGCCCGTTGCCTTGACCATGACCTTCATGGGTGTTTGAGGGTGCCCAAAAAGTAGGGAAAGGACAAAATATCTCGAAAAATACTTTCAGCAAGGAAAATATAGCAGAACGAAGTTTGAAAAGGACGTGAAGTTGATTATTACGTTAAAAGTCATTTGAAGGTAAACACAGTGTCCTTAAAAGGAAATCCGGAAATATAAAGAGCAGAAAGCTTGATCTTCAAGTACCTATGTCCATGACCTTGATTACCATAATCAAGGTTATTTAACGATCAAATCAATTTTAACGAGGAATATTTTTAATTCTTGGAATGGTAAATTTTAATTTTCCGTTCAAGTATATCTTTGCCAATGAACTTGACCATGACCTCCGAGATCATTTGAAGCTCAGGAATATTTTCAAACGAGATACTCACATTCTTGCTTAATTTCATGTCCGTCTAAAGCCTCGATCATTGTAAAATCTTCAAGGTCATGGTCAAGGTCACCATTGGATAATCCATTTTAAATCTTGCAACTTTGGTCTACAACATTTTTCTCTTGGTGGCATATTTTTCGAGATATTTTGTTCTCTCCACACCTTTTGGATTTCCTTGTAGGGCATAGTGAAGGTCATGGACAGGGACTTACTTAAATGTAAAATTTCCCGCTCTTTACATTTCCCATGTCAAAAATAGGAGCTTCCAGTTAAGAAAACTGCCTTGACCTTTAAATTACCTAGAAGCTCGTAGTCAAGGTCACAATTAGATGAACCTTTTCAAACATTACACTCTTAACTTTTTCCTACACGATTTTCTATATAAAATATATATATTTAGATATATTTTGATGTATACATACTTTTTGGACAACCTGTATACATTTTACTAAGATTCAAATTTTCAAAAACAAATTAACTACCTGGTCTTTCAAGTCCTGTAGATTTGCTACGAACAAAAATCTCCAGCAACTGATCGACAGTTAGATCAATACATTGTTGTTGGAATTCCTTATGCACCTTTCCCATTTCATCATGTGTCCAGTCAACAATGTCAGCATAACTTTTCAGGAAATCTTTCATATGAAGTAAATGTCTTACTTCCAATTCTTGAAAATTTTTGCAAGTGACTGACATTTTAGATTCAAAATCCTCCTTTACAGCACTGTATTTTTCTATGAAATTCTTGTATTCCTCTTGAGCTTTTTTTAGTTTCTGTTCAGCTTTTTCTACTTCTTTTGCGGAAGCGTTTTCTTTCTTTAATTTTTCTAATTCTAAGGTACGTTGGGTATAAGCATCTTTCGATTTTTGGACATTTAATGTTACTGCTTGCATCGCTTGAACTGCCTCTAGGGTGCCCGATTCCTCCTCTTTCACCTAACGAAACAAGTATTTTTAGCAAATAACTTCTTATGACTAAAATACGCATCTACCTTAAGGCAGTGTTTCAGTAGGAAATTATTTTGATTTTTTTTAACTTATGTTGTTTTTGAAATGACCGATTCAGTTCTTATTATTAGTTGTTATGCTAAGATACATCGCCTCGAGTATTGCAAATTTTGGCTGGGGTGTGTTTCTGAAACCGTGCATGAAAAATGGCATTTTGAGGACCATTTGATTCAGATAAAGTTGGAGGATCCATAATAAAGAAATACAGAAACATTACATCCCACCAGTATTAGTGTGGAGCCCATAGCACCCTGTAGATGCATCAGACTTACAACGTTGGTACGAACGTGAATAAATATCAAACAGTTATTACATATCGCCATGTACACTTTTGTTCTCAATGTTCTCCTACAATGCACTAAATATTGTAAAAAAACAGAAGGCCACTCCTCACAAAGGTTCCTAAGGTCTTTTGGACACAAGCTTGGTATTATTCCGAATATAAAAAAGCGTTGTAGGTTTTGAAAATAGAAGGAGAAGTTACGAGCAAAATATGAAAATTTTAGAACCTTCATAACCTTCGTTTTAGTGTTCTGCAGAGTTTCAACAGCAATCAAGAGACAAAAAAGTTGTATTTTTATTTGCTTAATCCGAAGAACAATAAAAATCACACAAAAGTCAGTGGCGTACATTTTTTGGTCACAAATATTGGTTCAGATCCCGCTCGAGACACCACTGAATAAACTTAATCAAGTTAGGACTAAATAAGCTTCTTAATTTTATCAATACCATCGCCAAATTACAGAAAAAAAATAGGTAAAGGATATTGATATTTACGAAAAACATTTTTTTTTTAGTTTTAACATCTTGTATCTTGAGAACGAAGAATTTTGCGCACCTATGTTTATATGAAGTTTTTGTCTTAAAATTACTCAAAGAAACGTCTGTTAAATTTATGGTACATAATTAATACCCTCTGTATGCTAAAATTTGTTAAAGAGAGATATATGCTTTACAGCTTTATTACTTTATAATGTAATATCTTTTCGTATGTCATAACGATATATCTATGTGGACAGCTTATAATGAACCTAATTATAAAATTAATTACTTTATGGCTGATAATAAACATGTTGTTCATATTTGGCTTAATTCGTGAGCAAATAGGTCCCACTACTACCTATTTTTGGAATGAGTCAAATTAGCAAGCTGAAATATCGTCACGTTTAGGGATACACCGAGTACTCGGTTTGTATCCGGTACTCGGCCAATTTTAACCAGTACCTGATCTTGCCGAGTATTGAATTACTCGGCCGAGTAATTACTTGGTCTGAACGCTAAGACACACAACTTGTGCAAATCAAAAAATTCTGAGCTCAGACGCTTCTTCCAAAACTTCCTGAAGCATTTCCAAAGAAATTAATTCAGCCGAGGTTACAGCAAATAGCTAATCCATTTATAGTGTTGGCATACCTTATTTTTGTATACACAAGTTGTTACTACTATACGTTCTTTCATAAAAAAGCGGTCCATGAACCTACGGCATCAGTTTAAATTGAAGACACGTTTCTGCAAAGAGTTGAATCCTTCCAAAATTAAGTATTGGTTCTGGGGATCATATCATGAATGTCCGTAAAACGGCAACTTCAGCATGTTATTCCCTTAGATTTATGGACAGGTATTTAAGCATTGAACATCTTAAGATTGTGTACTACACAAACATTTGTTCCACCCTCAGATATAGAATAATATTTTGGGGAGGCAGCAGTGACTCTGTCAGGGCTTTCAGAGCACAACAAAGATCAGTGCGCACTATGCTATCTCTGTGAAATAGACAAACTTGCAGATAAAGGTTAACAGAGCTGAATATTCTCACTGTGCCAGGTAATCATATTTTTGAGTGTCTCCTGTTCTTGTTTAGAAACAGAGAACAATTTAGCGCCTATGGAAGACCTAAAGGTAGCTCAATTACCCACGACATAGACTTATCGCAACGGAAAAGGGCACAACTTACTCATGTATAAATGTTGTGATTATATCAACACATTGTGCGCTGTCGCAAAATGTAACAAATACTACTATGTAATACAAATTATCACTGCCTGGGCAGGTGAAGACCATTTCGAAGCAGGACGACACTCTCCAATGAGCGATAGATGGGTACTGACCAAAATCGCTCATCTATGATCAAGGGGGTTGAATCCTTGCCCTGGAATGTAGTAGATAAAGTGTTGCCAAGCGAAAGAAAGGAGGAAATGTTGCAGAATTTGTGACAATTTTGACCTTTCATTTCGACTTAAAATGGAGTGCAGGTATGTCTGAACCGGAATCGATCCTAACCAGACTCGATACAATTTACAATTAAAGAATGTGTACGTTAAATAATATATATAATAATAAAACCATTATTTGCGCGTAGAGAATAAACTAACGCATATACATGCACCTTAATTCAAGGAACTGGTGTAACATATATGCAATTCGACAGCTTGCCACGTCAGCGTTGCTAGGCAACGCGGTGATGATCTTCGCTATGCAGCCGGATTCTACCTAACATATCTGTTTATATACACTTCTCTCTCATACACCTTGAACTCAAGCTGTCAGACAAATTTGGTTCTCAGTGTATGTGAGCATAGTTAAAAATTTTCTTTCTATTCATTTAGGGTAGAGCTGAACATTTAAACCTACCACACTCATCCTAGAAAAAGTGCATAGATTGTCGTACATCTATTCACTGTTTGTCGGATCTCCATACACCATATATACCATTCATCAAGTCAAATAAATTAGAAAAACTGCAAATTTCGAGATCATCCATACCTCAATCGTTTCTTGAGGCCCCACAAGGTATGTTCCAGCAGTTTTCTAAATTTCCCTCAGACTGTTAAAAATTCAATAAATCCAGACTCGAGCCTAGAAAGCTTACCAATTTATGTCGCTTGTGAAGTTCATCTGCATATTTGCCAACTTCCTTAACCAGTTCCATCATTTTCTGAACCATCTGCATGTGCAGACTGGACAGTTTTTCTACTGATGTTTTCAGAATATGCCATAGTGGTGCAAAAGTGCCATGTACGCAGCAACTACTTGCTTGTTTTGCTAGTTTGCTTAGCAACTTGGAGTTATTTTCTTCTATGTTTGACCTATGTGGACAGTGTATTATCAGGCATTCAATATCACACAGACAATAATTTCAAAAAATCGTTATAAGCAGTGTCCCAATATTCCGCGGACATAGAAGTACCACGTATTTTTAGACTCAAAATCCGATTTGAATGAAATTTGGAACATGTATGTGTTACTAGACATCCTAATATTTGACTTTAACAAAAAAGCCGAAAGGGTCCGAGAATGGTGAAAACTACCCCCACCCCTACGTAAATTATAGCACAATTTTTTTGAAACTCACCCGACGACACTGATTTTTTCTATTTAAAAAATCCTTTTATTCACTTCATTTTTTGTCTCTTATAAAAACAGGCCATCTCACATAGTTTTTGAGAAAAAAGTAAGTTTTAGAGTCGGTTTCTAAAAAAATTTCTTATTCCATCAAGTATTAAATTTTTTTGTATGAAAGATTCGCACTATTGCCTGTATTAATATTAAATAAAATGTTTTTAAAGGAGATAAAAGATGAAGCAGATATCAGCTAAATAAAAAAAATAATTAGAAAAGTTTCCAAAATATTCTGCAATAATTTATGAAGGGGTGGGGATACTATACCCTTTTCAAACCCTTTAGAGTTTTTCATAAAAAATGTGGTTTAAAAAGAAAATGTTGATGCCCTCTAAGAGGCAAACACAGCACTTTTGCATAGAGGTAAATCGTCCAATTTAGTCTAAAAATATATGATATTTCCATGTCCACAGAATATTGGGCCACCCTGTACATTTGCCAAAATACAAACTAACCAGAAAGCTTTTGAGGCTTTTTGCATTATGCTGATTCATTTCCTAAAACTCAGCACATGCTACTACTAATTTTTGTTTATGACCACCTAAAATTCATGAAATTTCTGAGGAGATTAACTATGTATGTGGATGATAACACATATCTATGAAATAACATTTTAAGGGTTACAAGTAGACAATGCTTTTAATTGGGAAATACAGACAGTTTTCAGATTGCAAAAAAGGGCTTCATAAATATTTTTGATTTGTCAATACAAACTTCATGCATGCCAGTTTTCTAGAAAAATCAATTGATGTTACTGCCCATATTTTTTTAGTAGAATTGCTTATGTATGTGAAACAAAACTTAACAAAATGCAGTATTAATGCAGATTTTCATCTTCATTTAGAGATGTTCAAAAAACTGGTAGTTCTGTTTACCAGGAATGCTTATTATTCAATACCTGAATTCCTCAATTCATAATAACTCATAATTTTAATGCCCCTTAATTGTAACTATTTTAATCTAATTTATTGTACTTATGTCTGCCTTATTCTTTAAATATTTTCAAGTCGATTTTTTAATTAATCTTAATGATTCATGTAGACTACTGACCTTTCCATTACCTGTACATGGTGTGAAATAATTACCATCAATCTTTCTACTCACCTTTCTCTTAGGAAGTCAGCAAATTCTTTGCTGGCCGCAAGTCCATATTTCATATTATGGTAAAGAACATCAAATCCATTGTTCTTCTCCCCCTAATAAAAAATAGTTTCTATATACGGTTTTATTATTTTAATGAAATTTACTCACCCAAAAATAGTCATTAAAGTTTAGCGTCATCATAACTATGTAATCATGCCAGTTTATATTCAATAATAAACCTGTTACACCAAAAGGCACAATAGTTCAATTCAATAACTACTATTGTTGATAAATAAGCCAGTAGTCACTAGAAGTACCTAAATATCATTCAATTGCAAAGCTCAAATACACTATTATGGAAATGTATATCAAAAACCAATTATCTAATGCTCAACTCAAATAGGGATTAGGTAATTTTTGAATTAAATATGTACATTATCATCAAAACATAAAACCAATGAAAATTCTTATTTTACAAAGGGGCGAAACCACAGACAACAATAAGAATAGAAAGACCGTTGTTATAAACTACACGTTTCCCATTTCGACCTTGGCTAAACGTCAAATTCGTGAATATGTCAAATTAATTAAATGCATTAATTGGTCAACTTTCAATCGCCTTTACCAAGACATAATCAGAATAGCCAATCAACAAGCAGATAGCTGGTCACGTAGTACTGAAATCATAGCCTTCTTATTTTCATCCAGGCATATGCGTAGAGTCGGCCCCTCCCTTTTTCCTATTGTCTACAGTGGCGCCATCTTCTAGAGACAAGATTAACTTGCATATGTGTTGAAAGCGCATCACAGATGGAGCACTTCCAATTTCATACACTCCCATCGTCTTTTGATGTCCTGCCATCTATTAGAGGATAATTGAAAGTGGGTGGTGTTGTGTCCGCATGTGCGAGAAGTACCTCAGTGATCCTCGGTTTTGAATCTTAGAGCGAATTTCCTTGTATGCAAAAGATAATGCCGTAAAATCTGTGGTAAAATCCAAGCTTGACTACACCAGCCGTTTTTTTGTCTCCGTCATTGTACACTCTATTTGCGGGCCACACAATGAAGATGCATAAAACAGGCAACTTCTAAAATGTACCTCTATTTCTTGGTTACATAAAATACTGATGTGATTTTACAAATCATGATCAGTATAATACATTCAACATTTCATGGTCCACAACAAATTATATTAAAAAATGCTCAATTGACAGTACCTCCAGTTGAGGTAGGCTATAAAAAATAGTGTCAAGTAGATTGACTCTACAGTGTGTCCCAGATTTGCTTCTCTATACAGGGAACTCAGCTCCTGTTATCCCTACAGCAAAGGTTAAATGGGCAAAGTTTAAAATAGAGGAAACTCACTGCTTTCGATAGCCGGCTTCAGATTTACGGTCGGTCAATTGGTTTTGAAAATGTCACCGAAAAATCGAAAATAACGGAATTTGTTTTTTGCCAGAAAATCCAAAACGGTTAATTGATGAGGCAGGATAGATCAAGGTATCGTTTTAAAGTAAACATGTGGACCGGGATTCTTAATGGGAGAATCATTGTACCCTTTGAGCTGAAACAGTTCTTAAATGGCGACATTTATTTAGACTATACGAGTATACCAAATTTATTGGAAGACGTGCCGCTAAACATTTACAGAGACATGTGGTACCAGCAAAACGGCTTCCCAGGGCACTATGCTCGTTCATTTGGAGACAATCTTGATGCGGAATACCGGAGCAGATGGGTAGGGCAGTCTGGTACAATTTCTTAGCCAGCCAGTTCACCTGACTAAATCCACTCGATTTTTTTTACTGGGGAGCGGCGAAACCAAAATTTTACTCAAATCCAATCGAAAATTTAGCTGAGCTAAGGGACAAAATAACGGAAGCAGTTGAATTTGTTAATAATTAATGGAAGATTCGCGCGACTGATAACCCGATCGTTTTTAAGATGTCAATCTTGCATTGCTCCTGAAGTAAGGCAGTTTGAAGATTTATTGTGAATTTAATACATATGTACATTCACGAATTAATAAAAGTGGCGTTACTGTCCGTTACTCGGTCTAAGAAGAAATTGAAATTTGTAGTAATGGGAACTAAGAGATCATCACAGGGTGTAGATTTTCCCGATTCTCTTAAAGCCTATAATCTGAAAAGTACACGATTTGGTCTATTCCCCGTTTCCGGCTTGACGTCGACTTCTGGAACACCCTGTATGTGTATCTACCCTTAGCTGCCCATAATCCAGGACTATAGCAAAATACGTTCTTATGTGGCATGTCCTTGCCATTAACCAAATATATTTCGTGATTGATTATTTATTAGTGGGTGAGTAAGTGGGGTTTCAATTTTTATGTAAACAATTAATTCACAACACTGGTCAAAAACACCTAGTTTTATTAAATGACAATGATACAAATATTCAGATATTACAGTAAGCTTAGAGATTCACTATAACAAATTTTGTGAAGCTTCGAGACATTTTTTATTTATAATTTTTCAGTATTTGCGTTCTCTCCCAAACCTCAGAAACACGTGATCGACGTCTTGCCTCTTCTTCGAATTCAAAATAGCATCTCTTTCGTCTAACCTTGCGGGAACTGGAAAATGAAAACAGTCTTAAGCCAACTTTACAGATCAGCTTACTGTTAAAGTACGAAGACTTGGGTCACTGGCTGATAAGCTTTTATTGGATTTGGATTTTGAAAGCGCTGCCTGCAAACCAAAAACCGGATGTTCTTCTAGTGACAGATAGTTTCGGCGAAGCAGTTGCTCTAGCCGAAGGGTTTTCACACTTTTTTGCTCCAAAAAATTACACTCGGTGAAGGAAGGAACTGGTTTGACCGCTAAGTGTCCCTTCTATTGGAAACCCATGTACAGTAGGTTTGGTTTAATGTTTTTGCAAATGTGAAGGAAGAAACTAGTTTAAATGCCAAGTGACCCTTCTATTAGCATCCCAAGTACAGGGTGGCGGATATATAAAGGGTATCCCACACGTGCGAAGACGGACTATTGCTTCTAAACAAACACGTTTCAACGTGAGCTATTAATGGATTATTATATTACCTATACCAGCAGATAACTAAATTATCCACTATTATACAGAGTGTCACTATTTTGACCCACATATCAAAGTTGCTTTTACTTCCTACGCTACTGGGCGTGAAGGCCAGTGCCGACTGTGGCATGCGCAATAGGTAACTAACCCTAACTGGTGTGCTGTGGCGATGTCGACACCGACACACCGCTAGCCGATGATTCTATGTTCTAGTGAAGCAGTTTCTGAGAGCTGAGTAGTGCAGATATTTTTAGTTATTGCCCTTTCATTTACTAGTGTTAAGCATAAAAAAATGCCTCGAGTTCGAAGACGTCCAAATCATCGCCATGTTAGCGACTTTGACTTTGATGCTGGTTTGTCCTATCGCCAAATTGACCGCAATGACGGTAATGCGTGTGTGTCGTATGTGGATAGAAAAAGGTTGAGGAACACGAAGAAGGCCAACTGGTCCACCGAGGCGCACCACAGAGCGTCAGGATAGGCGTTTCAGTCAAATAGGTCTATGAGACCGTTTTGCTATTACGCTGACCAATGGTTTGGAGAAGAAGGTAGACCTGTTACTATGCGTACACTCTATCGCCGCATTCGAGCCTTTGACTTATTTCATTCCGTCCAGGGTTGGTGTTTCCTCTGACTGTGGACTACTGTCATCAACATTTGTACTGGAGCAGAGAACGTTAACATTGGGAGGCAGAATAGCACAATGTCGTCTTCAGCGACAAATCGCGATTCTGCATAGATACGCACGATGGTCGTAGGAGGGTAAGACGCCGCCGTGGAAAACGACGTGGTTTTGGATTTGCTATTGAGAGGCATGTACACATGACTGTTGGAGTAATAATTTGGGGGGCAATTCCCTATGGTAGCCGTTCACCCCTTCTCTTTGTTTAAGTGCTGTGCGTTATGTTGATGATGTCCTACAAATCACTTTACTGCCATATCTTGACAGTCCTTTTTCAGCAAGATAACGCACGTCCCGATATTGCTCGTCGTACTACGGACATTATCCAAAAAGCAGGCGTTAATGTCTCGTCATGACCACCCCGTTCACCGGATTTAAATCCCATCGAACATGTGTGGGATATGATGGGGAGGAGAGTATCCACTTTGCACCATCCGCCGCAGACTGCCACAGATAATCCACGAAGTTCGAGTTGCTTGGAATGAGAGAAGTGCATTCAGCTGAGGAGTCGCCCAACACATTTGTAATTTTTTTTCTTATTACTTGTCAATAAAATTTCATGAGAATGTTATCGTTTCATCCTTGATGTAAGACTACCTCCTTGTCAAGAAATCAAGTTGAAGAAATGATTTTTTCTGGGTGTAACACTTTTAATGTCACTGAGTATAGCTGCCCTAATTTCTATTACATATTTCTATAGGATCTTTCATAAAAATATTGATAAAATATACTTATGGCTTTGATTATTGGTTATTGAGCTATTGGGTATTTTATCTATATAAATAGTTTTTTGTTAAAACTTTTTGTCTAGGAGCAATAATCCATCCTTGCACAGTTGGGGCACCATATATATCTGACTGGCTTATTTCTATAATATATTTTTGATTAAATAAAATAGATCTACTGTTTTTATGATAATATTTTCGGGAAAGTTAGGAGTTATGTATGGAAAAATATATATGTTAAATGCCTCTTCGTACCAGATTTTGGAAGGAATATTTTGAATAGCTTCCTGAATATTACTCTTCAGTTGTTAGATTAAGATTAGATCTATGATCTATTCCGCTGTATTTTGCAGATATTAGAAAAACAAATCAGTCAGTTATATATATAATTAGTCGCCCTTTGCTGGTGACAGTATACTGGTCTGAGAACCAGGACTTATGCACAAATATTGAAGATGTTCAATGAACGGAAAGAAATCGATCAAATATAGAAATGCACTAGAAAATACAAAATGTTTAACCTACGCTTAGGTGGGAATTCCTAAACGAACTATTATGAAGACGCCTTATTTGCCTTGACATATGGAAGTCGCAAAATACTTTTCAAATATTGACGAAGGCTTAAGAACCAAAGTAAGCAGACCTCAGCATCCTTTGAGGAAGGTAGTGAAATAAGGAAGCCTTAAAGTGAGTTAATATGAAAGGCCTCGAATAAATGGAATTGGAGGAATCCCGGCCACCAAGGGGAGCCGGCGCATAGGCCACATAACCACCACCACTACATTTCATAAGCCTCAAGCTCCGCCCTTCTAACGAAGTTGAGTATAGCGCCGAGGACTTTTCCTCAACCCCACAGCGCTCACACATGGGATCTTCAGCCACCCCTAACACATGCAGGTGACCAGAAAACAGTCCCACCAACAACCTTCGCTTGGCTCTACCCAAAGATAAGCAAAAGCGTCCATCCTCAGTACTTAGTACTAAGATGAGTTCCCGGGCCTGACGGAGATGTCTAGAGGCACTTCTCCATTTCAGACAGTGTTGTCTAGATATCTACTTCTCCGTTATCCTCCTGACACTGGGTGTGGGCAACCCTAGCGCTGGCTCAGGAACAACAAGCTTGCCCGCTGATCCTGCTTTCGCGAGAGCGTCTGCCATATCATTACCCATTATCTCAGCGTGCTCCGGTACCCACACTAACGATACCACAGGCCTTGCTGCTAAGCTATCCAGCAGTATCAGGCAGCAGCGATGGCCGCAGTGGGAGACTCTCCGGTCTCCTGATCAGTGCGCTGCGCGGGTTCGAATCCCGTCCCAAGAGAAATTTTTGTCTTAGCTATGGATGTTGCGATTGTACGTAGGTAGTAGACGGTCTCTGACTGTCGAACGCGGAGGTACCACCCGGCGGATCTCTTAGGCGGGGCCAGAATGTGGCCATGTGAACTCTGACAGGATTCATGAAGGTCCAGCTGCCATGACTCCACAGTAGATGTGCGGATCACTAGATCCAAGGTGGGAGATCCTGGATGGGGCTTGTAATACTGGCATAAGCCAAACGCTGAATTTTGTTGAGTTTGGCTTTAGTTGTCTCGGTTCCAATGCAAGGCCACCAAGCCAGGGAGCCTTACAAGAAAGAGGGACGTACTATCGTCGTATAGAGCCAGTGCACCACTTTTTGCTTAAGCCGCCTCAAGGCCGAATGAGACCACCTTGTGTCAAAGCTGGCTAGACGAAAAATACTTCCCTACACATAGTGCAGGAGCGAATATTAGACTTTATTTATTCGAATTAGTTCACTGTAACAAAAACTGACTCATTTCATTGAACATTTTCGGTGTTTTTGCAATTAAATAAAATTTACGCATGCAAAAAATACAAGGATGCTCTTACATTCACATGAAATTGGCCAAATAGTCTTGGAAACCGGTAACATTTTTCAAAATCGATATTTTCAAATTCACTAAAGATGCATTTGACCAACTTCAAATATATCTTGTCAGTTTGTGTTTAGGAACATTATGATGGCACTAAAGTCTCACCATGCAGTTCCTAACTATAAAATTTAATCTAGATGATTATTTTGGAAACTGGATAGTTTGGCTTTCAATAGAAAGAGAATAGTTCTACGTCCATGTTTCCCAAAGCCAAACAGTACCTGAAAGAAAAAATGATGAAGTATAAAGAAAAATATAGATGAAATAACACATGAGAGATAAAATGAGAACTTATTTTTGGAAAAATAACGACACAGCGTAACTTCAGAATGAAAACAAAATACTACTAGAGCATGTCAGTTAACTCCGAATGAAGAAAATGATACTGTAATATATTAAGAAGACATCTAAGAAAGAATCAAAGTGATAGCCAAGTTGTAGCAGAACTCAAGATATGCAAGACGAATAAAGGTTGATTCTCACTATACATCCCATTCCGATTCCGTAACCGTTGCGTAAATTATTGAAATTAAATATTCGCCTTCGCTTAAAGCAGGCTATTGCTTGTGTATGCACATTATCCGTAAAGTATGCTGTGTATCAAATTGTACTGAACGTTTACGAAACTGATATGGAATGGAAACGGAATGTATAGTCAGAATCAACCTTAAACCGTTGAAGACGTTGAAAATATACTAAGTGACATATAAATCCGAACACCCAGTTTAAATGGTTTTATTTTAATAAAATTTTGTATAAGTACTTAATGAAGCATAATAAGTAAATGATAAAAATTTCAAAATGATTGCACTGCTTTAAAGCCCTTTGACCTTTAATAATGTGTGGATGCACCCTGATGTGCTACGCATTCTCCAACGCGCCTAGGCATGCTTCTGATCAGGTGGTCAATGTCCTCCTGTGGTATCTCATTCCAGGCAACCACCAACTCCTCTCGAAGTGCTTCTAGAGTCTGAGGAGGACGTGGCAAATTGAGCAATCTCCTACCCATCATATCCCACACGTGCTCAATTGGGGATAAGTCGGGAGATCTTGGTGGCCATGGTAACAATGTGACATCATTATGTTGAAAGAAGTCTATTGTGACTCTTGCAACATGTGGTCGGGCATTATCTTGTTGGAAAGTTGGATCTGCCAGGGTGTCAAGATAGGGTAAAAGATGGGGTTCTAGAACTTCGTGGATATAACGCTGCGCGTTCATGTTACCTCTGATGAAGATTAAAGGTGACCTGGAACCATTAGCTATAGCACCCCAAGCCATAACTCCAACAGTGTGATGAACATGTCTTTCAACAAAAAACTGTGGATTCCTCCTTTCACCACGTCGCCTTCTAACCCTGGCACGACCATCGTGCATGCCTAAACAAAATCGAGACTCGTCACTAAAGACAATACTGTTCTATTCCTGATCCCAGAGTGACCGTTGTCTGCACCACTCAAGGCGATTACGTCGGTGTTCTCGAGTTAAAGGGAGGACCCAGTGTGGCCGGTATGAAAACAACGGCGGCGTCCAGTGCCCCTTGCTCTTTGCGTACGGCCTTCTCGAAGCCATGCCTGGTGTTCGGATTTATATGTCACTTAATATACATCGACAAGATAATCAAACCATAATCCATACCAAAAAAGATTTGAACAAAAATAGCATAAAAAAACTAGAAGTTAAGATAGATGACGTCAAACATACAAGAAATTGAGGTGTCGATTTAATTGGTAGCTACAGATGAAGTATGATGACATAGAACAGAAAAAATCCTAGGATTGCATTGACCGCAGACTTACCCAATGAAGCAGATGTTAGGGAAAGCACAGCTAGGCAAAACATGTTTATCCTGGAAAATGAAATCAATATCATGTACATCAAAATGACTCATGAAAAACTTACACAATTTTTGCAGAAGTACACTGATTAGCTTATATTCATGCCACGGCAGAGGATAACGACAACGTTTCACTAGATTGGCAAAATAATTATCGGGATTTTCATCAATGAGAGTGACTCAAATTTGTTCATAGCAACTATAAAATGTTTACATTTAAATGTTCTAGAACATATGTATTTTTAATTTCGATCTGCATTATTATTTTTATTTTATTTCATTGATTGTTTTCTAAAAGCCAAGACAGAAATTCTAGCATTTTTGTGCAAAATTCTACCATTTTCGAATATTTGACAAACGGATTTATATATGAGCGAATGGTTGCACTTTTCATTTCAATTCTATAATAAAACACACTAAGCGCAATACAAACAGTGCTTTTTAAAAAGGTTAAATGTCATTTTTACCGCCAAAATATAGTATCCATACACCCCTTCAAAAAATAAGTAAGGTATAACCTGTTTGAAAAGCACTGTTGCCTTTGATGTTAAGAATTAATTCGACCTGGTACAATTGCAGGAAATCGTTGGATATCTCGGAAAGTTCTGCACCCCTGGTTATCTATTTAATATGATAAAGAGCTACTTTAGCGAAAGACAATTTAAGGTAAATGTCCAAAACTTCGTTAGTTTTGATTTGAATCGCCAAAATAAGAAAATGGTGATGAGTTTCATTAAATTCTACTGTTTGAGCTGTCTCAAAAACAGAAATTGGGCGATCTTCGGAACTGGCAGTCGACCGACCGATTTCATTATAAACAATTTCAGATACGAGAGAAGGTATTTATAGTTAAAGTAATCAAAAAATTGCAGATTCAGGAAATTAGATTCAGTTAATTTTCATGTCCCATACGGGTTACACCAGAAATAATGTTATTTCACTGACATTTCTATTGCATCGTATTTTTTACAAATAGTATGTAACAAAATATAAAATATACATGTAATGAAAAAAAAACTATAGTGTTTCTTTTGGGAGAATTTCGGAATACACTTTTTCCAACAGTCATTTTTCAACTAGAGCGCAAAGTGTGGCTCAGCTTACATAAGTTAAGGAAAAGTTGAGTATTGGTATAAAGTGTACGTTTTATTTTTACTGGAACTGATACATCCCCTTCAGGTATAGTTATTGACTAACTACTAACATCCTAATCTCATAATTATGGTTATTCTATCATGGTACAGTGGAATGAGAGCAATAATGGGGGTTTTTAAACAAAGATAGGTCATTACCGTATCCATTGTCCTTATCTTTCCTTTGGCTTATCAATGCGAAGACGTTGTTAATATGTTATAATCGGGGCCTCGCTACCACTCATACAAGAGGTGTTTACTCTGTGCCAGATATGTAATGCATTTCTATATCAAATATGTATGACATACAAATTTACATTTATAATATTCCAAGTATAAAGATTAGAACAAAGACACAGCTTTGTTTTCTGCTGATTATATAGTCTTGATTTAAATATGTTATGGAATATGACTTTCGTTTGAAACTATTGTTTTGAGAGATTTCAGCAGTCATATTTAGTAAATTTGAATGCCAACCTTAATGCAAAATAGATCCTAAATTGGTACGTATAGTTTGAATTTCCCGGGTACATTTATGTTGGTGTTGTGACATTGTCGCAAAGCTTGTCATGTTATTACGCCAACGGCTCTTGTTTATTTGTGGTTTATTTCCTAGGATCTGGTAGTTTCAAGTAGTGTGGCAACCATGTGCGTCACTGTCATTATTTGACGTTGTGACGTAACTGCTTTGATTCAGTGAATATACTGTAGTTATTAGTTATGTTTTTACTTTTTAGTTTGTTGATTTCTATGATGTACCTTTATTAGCTACAAACATATTTTGAATTCCGTAATATAATTAATTATTTCGTTAATTGTCAAAACTGTTTATATTTATTATATCTGAATGTAATATAACTTATCCCATATTATATACGCAGGGTCTGTATCACGAAACAGGGGTCACATTCACGAGGTTAGAGACAAGGCGAAATTTTATCACGAAGTATAAGGTTAAACAAATATTTGAAAGATACTGGAAATTGAAACAACAAAGAATTTTCACTTTACTCTCAATATCTGCCTTCACGAAAAAAAGTTGTATCTCGAAATCTTATAAATAAGTTAAGAAAAATCTAGAACAGTCCCTTAACAAGCCGAAGTTTAGAACATTTACCTTATAGTAGGTCAGAAGATGATGAAGGTGAACATGGGAGTACCACAAGGATCTGTCCTAGGGCCGTTGCATTGGAACATGCCCTACGATGGGGTTCTTCGGCTGCAGATGTCGGGAGTTTGTTAAATAGGGTATTGTGATGACCTGGCGATACTATAGAGACTAACAAGGACCGAGGTACATTGGAAGGGCTGGATTACCATATGGATGGAAGAGAATGAGTTGAAGCTAGTTCCTGAGAAGATGGAAGTTGTGATACATTCCGACTGACAAGTTGATTTCAGAGATAGTTAAGGTTAACAGTGCTGAGTCAGCTAAATAGATCAGAAAGCATAACTTAGTACCTGCGTATGCAGATGGTGTCGCCATAATGGCTAGAGATAAAAAAGACAATGAAAATGTGGTAGAAAGGTTTATACAAGTTGTAGCAAAGTTAGGATTGCAGATAAATGGGAAAAAAGTAAATTTTTGAGAATAGAAACGAAGTTAGAAGCAATCGTAAGCACAGGAAAAATATTTTTGAGGAGGTGGATGAGCTTGTGTATTTAGGATCTCTGATCAGTAATAAAATAAATGAGGAAACCGAAGTAAACTATAGAATCGGTAAGGCCAATAAAGTCAAGAAATGTATGTAGAGTCTCTAAAATAAGGCTATACAATATGATCATGAAGCTAACCCTTTTGTACGGAGTCGAAACCTGGGTAATTAATAAAAAATTTGAAGAAACCTTACTTAGGAGAATATCAATTTGGAGGGGCCAAGGTGGAGGTCTAATGCGGAATTAAATCATTTTCATAAAGAACCAAATATAGTAGAAGTAGTTAGGACCAGAAGATTGCAGTGGCTGGGGTACATGGAAAGAATGCCGCAAGAAAGAACAGTAAATCATATAGCATGGAGAGCTCCGGATGCCAAAAAGGAAAGATTAAGTCTAAGAAGAAGATGAAAGGATGCGGTTATGGAAGATTTGACGAGCAGGAATGTCAAAGACGGGAAGAAATGGGCCTTAGACAAGAAGTGGCGAAATAAACATATTAAGCTTGTGGTCTGAAGGCCTGTTTTATAGCTTTATATACAAATTTGACCATAATCTGTGAACTTCGGCAGCTTTATTTATGTAGAAAAGGCGTGCATTTCTGTAAGTAAATGATGTTAAATAGTTTAATATCATAACAAAAGAAAAGAATGAAAATAAAATATGGGAATGCAAAATGAGAAACTAAGGTATTATAAAAATACTAAAAACAACATTAGAAAATTTATTACATGTATACCGTACGATTTCCCTAATACGTAAGATTAACATTTGATATATACAGATTATGCCATTTTTGATTGTATCAACATCAAACAAACAAATAAAACTGAAATCCTTAATTAATTGTATATTTACACTTATCTTCACAATGATGAGTAAAATATTTTATGGATTTAAGATTCTTCAGCTTCCTCACGAAATAGATAAGTTGACCAGTAAATGACATTAAATAACGCGAACACTAATGGAAATGTAATTCGGGAAATGACATCGATCCTTTTTGATCTTGTGGGGAATTTTGACAGCCAAGACCGACAGCAGTTTGGTCTGGCAGGTTGCATGTGAATCTCACATTGACGCACTTTTTCCATGCCCAACGGATCACCTGGATGCCTCACCAATGGCTTCTGAAACAAAAACATGTATAAGAGCCGAATTTATTCAGAGAAATCCACACACCACTGATAGCAAGAAGCGTGCAACATGTATCCTAGAAAGAGATAGAAGCACCACGTTGCCTAGCAGCTTGAGTGACGACGCCACATCTGTGGCTTGCCACGTTGCCATTGGCGCGCATGTATACAGGGTGTCCCAGAAGTCGACGTCAAGCCGAAACCGGGTGATAGGCAAAGTCATAACAGCTATCAGAAAAATATTTAAAAAAATTTTATGTATGTGTTTTGAAAATTATAGGTCTTTGACAAAAATATAGAAATTTCACACCCTACGGCAGTCTGTCAACTCCTGTTACTACAAATATTAACTTTTTTGGATTTTATTTTTACAATGTAATGATGAATAATGCATCTTCAAACTGGTGTCTCAACCTTACTGCCAACTTTTCTCGTTCAGGAAAAATTGCCACTTATTTCCCAACCAAGTATTCCAAAGTAAAACTTTGTTCAACTTTATCTGGCTGTACTGGAAAAAAATGTACCACGAGAGTTTGGCAAGTAACCTTAAAAGTTGGCGCATTTAATAAGGATTCCAAAATGGTATAACACTTAGAAGATTACTCGTTAACTTATGCACAATTTTTATTTGAAGAAAAACTGATGAAAATTTTTCAAAATTTTCTAATTAAACAGCGATTATGAAAACGCACAAGGACCCTTAAGGATAACTGTTTGCACAACAGTGGGCGTCAACATGCTGCTGATGATGATTTACCTTTACAGCAAATGCTCAAACTGTTTTCCTTCAGCCGCAATACACGCTCGAAATCTTCTTAAAGAAGATCGGGTTATTAAACGAGCGAATCCACGGTTATTAACAAACCCAGCTGCTTCCTATAGTCTTTGCCATAGCTCAGCTACATTTTGAATCGGCTTGAAATACACTTTTTCTTTTACAGTTTCCCAGTAAAAAAAATCGGATTCAAATCTGGTGACCGGGCTGGCCACGGCATTGTACCAGACCGCCCTATCCATCTGCCTGGAAAGTTTTGATCGAGATACTCTCTCACTGAGAGTGCATAGTGCGCTGGGCAGCCATCATGCTGAAACCACATGCCCCTGTAAATACTCAGTGGCACGTCCTCCAATAAATTCTCTAAATGATTTTGCAAAAAACCTAAATAAACCTCAGCAGTCAAAGTCTCTGGGAACTCAAACGGACCGATTATTTTACCATTTAAAATTCCTGTCCAATGGTTTATCTTGAAGCGAAATTGAGATTTATCTTCTCTCATCAAATGTAGGTTTGCTACGTGCCACTCGTGTTAGTTATGCAGGTTCATGTACCCATCTTTCTTAAATGTGGTCTCATCTGACCATAAAAATTTTTCAAAGAACCCTGGATCTTCCCTGTGTCTTTCTAACATTGTGCGACAATAAGCAACTCGGGGCTCATAATCCCGGGGCAGAAGAGCTTGAACACGCTGTACGTGGTATGGATGGAGCACATTTTTTTGCAAGATTCTATGGGCTGTAGTTTTGGGCACACCTGTTTTTAGTTCTATTGCACGCACTGAAGTACTCGGGTCTTCTTCGACAGCTTCTAGCACCACGTCTTCGTAAGGAAGGAAAGATCTTCCCTCACCGTGTGATTGGTTTGGTAGTTGGCCCTCTGAGAACAATAAGTGAACACTCGATGATCTGGATGACGAGCTGCATTCGGGTACCTCTCACAGTAAAGTCTCGCTGCAGCACTAGCGTTGCATCTGCATTCCCCATAAATGAGGTGCATGTTAGCATATTCTTGTACGGTGTACACGGACATAGCGGCACTGCACAATCACACTATCAAAGATAGTCTAAGGAAAGCAAATGTTGTTTTGAAGAGCAATTAAACAGTCCAAATCCAAATCACAAGCGATCAACAGTCCAGTTCACGAATCCAAAATTAGTAACAGTACGAAATCAACAAGCACGAACATGTAAAGATGCACAGTAAACGAAGGAGTACTGATCGGTATCAAAGTGTGCAATAGCAAGTAAGCGATGTGCTTCATCCATACCACATACAGCGTGTTCAACCTCTCCTGCCCCGGGATTATGAGCCCCGAGTTGCTTTTTGTCGCACAATGTTAGAAAGACACAGGAAAGATCCACAGTTCTTTGAAAAAAATTTATGGTCGGATGATACCACATTTAAGAAAGATGGGTACATGAACCTGCATAACTTACACGAGTGGCACGTAGCAAACCCACATTTGATGAGAGAAGATAAATCTCAATATCGCTTCAAGATAAACCATTGGACAGGAATTTTAAATGGTAAAATAATCGGTCCGTTTGAGTTCCCAGAGACTTTGACTGCTGAAGTTTATTTGGATTTTTTGAAAAATCATGTACAATATTTATTGATGGACGTGCCACTGAGTATTTACAGGGACATGTGGTTTCAGCATGATGGCTGCCCAGCGCACTATGCACTCTCAGTGAGAGAGTATCTCGGTCAAAACTTTCCAGGCAGATGGATAAGGCGGTCTGGTACAATACCGTGGCCAGCCCGATCACCTGATTTGAATCCTTTAGATTTTTTTACTGGGGAACTGTAAAAGAAAAGCCGATTAAAATGTAGCAGAGCTACGGCAAAGACTATTGGAAGCAGCTCAGTTTGTTAATAACCGTGGATTCGATGTCGAGCGTGTATTGCGGCTGATGGAAAACAGTTTGAGCATTTGCTGTAAAGGTAAATCATCATCAGCAGCATTTTGACGCCCTCTGTTGTGCAAATAGTTATCCTTAAGGGTCCTTGTGCGTTTTCATAATCGCTGTTTAATTAGTAAATTTTGAATAATTTTCATCAGTTTTTTTTCAAATAAAAATTGTGCATAAGTTAACGAGTAATCTTCTAAGTGTTATACCATTTTGGAATCGTTATGAAATGCGCCAACTTTTAAGGTTACTTGCCAAACTCTCGTAGTACATTTTTTCCAGTACAGCCAGTTAAAGTTGAGCAAAGTTTTACTTTGGAATAGTTGGTTGGGAAATAAGTGGCAATTTTTCCTGAACGAGAAAAGTTGGCAGTAAGGTTGAGACACCAGTTTGAAGATGCATTATTTATCATTGTATTGTAAAAATAAAATCCAAAAAAAGTTAATATTTGGAGTAACAGGAGTTGACAGACTGCCGTAGGGTGTGAAATTTCTATATCTTTCTCAAAGACCTATAATTTTCAAAACACATACATAAAATTTTTTTAAATATTTTTCTGATAGTTGTTATGACTTTGCCTATCACCCGGTTTCGGCTTGACGTCGACTTCTGGGACACCCTGTATATTGCGCGCTTCTCATCTACCTCGTCAGTGATATTTGTATTTCTCTCTATAGTTCATTTTTCAGGTAATATTTTGTTTCGTATGAAACACAAACAGTTATATCCATATATATTTGCTTTAGTGCCTTGTACCATTGATTAACGTATTCTACACATAGCCAAATATGTTTTTCGGCGTCCAAAAAATGATATAATTCAGCACTTCAGGTCTTTTTGAGAATTTCTTCCCACGCCTTTCTTTTTTTGGTTTTTTCATCCCAGTCTGGTACGCCTAGTCTTCGTAAATCCTCTTTGGCACTTTCCAGCCACTTCTTCTTCGGTCTTCCTCTTCTTCTACTGCCTCCCCCTCCTAGGCATACCTACATGACGGCATTCTGCCGGAATTTTTTTTGGAGGGTTAAACATTAGGGATTAGACATTGTAGAGGGTGGATTAGGGTATATCTCAATTTTTTGCCGTTGGTACATTTATACGCCTCCAGTCCCAGTAATTCTACGTTATTTACATATTTTATTCATCATATATCCGTACATTTATCCTTAAAATTTAGAACAAATATCTACAATAGACGCGTGTCGATACGAGTGCGACGTGGTCCGACTGTGCGTTGTAAATGTCAATATCGTCATCCACGCCGGATTACTCCATTTTTAGTATTTTTGACATTAAATAACATTCTCATTTTACTCAGGTAAGCTTCACGATTTTATTTCATTCTAATAATAATAATAATAAGTAGTAGTAGTACATTATCTACATCATTATTATGTTTCTTTATGATAAAACGATTTCAACTTATACGCTCCCGAAAGATCGCGTCCTTATTCTAGCACACTGTAAACATGTTAAACTTACCATAGCAAAAGTGGCATTGCTTTCTGTATCAATGAGGTCAGACGTGGCGTCCAAAGAAGCGGCATGTTCAAGCTCGCATTGCCTCCTCTGTTTCTTCATATTTTCCCTGTGCATGTCCGATCTAGAAGCGTAATTCACTAGCGCAAACTCCAACAGGGCGCCAAACACGAATGTCAGACATACACCTGTCCAAACGTCAATCGCCTTTGTGTATGATACTGGAGGCAGTGACGCATTTATTCCGGATGTTTGGGTCGCCATTGTGAGAAGGGTTGTAACACCTTTGGGAATATATAGACTTATCAATATATTGTGTCGCATTTGAATCTTCCCACCTAAATAGTGTTTTGAGGCAAAGTGATGGTGACCTTGACAATAACCTTGACCACGATTCTTAAGGTCATTTCAAGGCCAACTGAATATTTTCAAATGGAACCTTCTTTTTCACATCGGAATTGAAAAGAGGAGCAGATTTTACGTGCTGAAATCAACTAAGCCATGACCTTGATATGTGCCTTCAAGGCCACTTCAAGGTCAAAACAAGACATCGGAAACAAACAGGGTCTGTGGGACTCACCCAAAGGTAACGTTGATTATGAAATTTACCTCGACTATGACCTTGACTTTGACTTTTAAGGTCAAATCAAAATTTCCAAAGGAAACCTCTCATTTTTATACTGGTAATGGAAGAAGTATGTGATTTTACGTCCGAGTGTAATCTTGACCTGAAAGTCAAGATCGTAGCAAACTGGTCAAGGTCATGACTAAGGTCAATCTCATAGTCAAGGTTCCCACAAATCTCACAGCTATGGTGGCAAAAATTTTTGCTGGAGCAAATTGTTTTCGATGTCTTGATTTGACCTTGACATGGAAATGGAAAAGGCAGGTGATTTTACGTCCAAGTGTAACCTTGACCTCAAAGTCCTTATCGCACCAAGCTTAAAGGTTATTTGAGGTCATACTTGGATGCAAAATCTGCTGGTTTTCCATTTTCAGTACTAACATGAGAAGAAAGTTTAACTTCACCTTGAAGGTCATGGTCAAGGTCAATCTTCTAGTCAAGGTCGCGACAAACCGCACAACTGTTCTGACGAACAATTTTGCTGGAGCAAATTGTTTTCGATGTTTTTATTTGACCTTGGCATGACCTTAAAGGCAATGGTCAAGGTCATGGCCATGGTGATGTTCTGACGTAAAATTTCCAATGTAAAAAAGTGAAGTTCGATTTAAAAATATTTACTTGACCTTGAAATGACCTTAAAGATCGTAATCAGGGCATTGCATCATTTTACCTTCTGGAAGTCCTATATCTTTCAAACTTCCTTTCTAAAATGCCCAGCTTTCGAAACATTAGGTGGGGAGACGTTCATCGGACTCCGTTGTCTGACCGAATCAAACCACATATACAGGATGTAAAGTTAGTAGTGGATCAACGGAAGTCAGGTGATAGAGGGCCTCAAAACCTATCGAATAAACCCCTATATGTGTGGTCCGAAATTTTATAGTTCAAGAGATATTTGCAATTTTGTGAAATTTCGACAAAAACGGGATAATGAACTTTCAATCGCAAAAACTAAACCATTAGGTTGAGGGCTGTGATTTTTTTTTGACATGAGCTAAATGGTTGGTTTTAGCAGTGGTTATGTCATTTTCCAACAGATCTTATTAAAAATCAACGCAAAAAATCTTAAATTCATTTTTTTGTGAAAAATCTCTTCCATCCCTCAAATTTGGAGGGCAGTAAAAAAAATTGAGGTTGTATTTCATCATAAGAAATTCGTTAATTATTGAATAAGAAATTGACACGTTTTTTTATCCGATTCATCCATTGATCTGATTTGTTTCGGTGTACCCTACAATAAGAATTATGTGTTGCGACAATAGATTGGACTGTCCTGCTGCATACAGAGATCTTTACAATTTTACGATGGCACCGCGTAAAACCATTTGTCGTTTTTTAATGTACCACACATGTTACCCTTCAATGGCTGGATGTGCTTTGGGAACGGGAATGCCTATCCCAGGCGATCCTGGGCGTTCCTTGTTTAACGCGGTGCCATTGTAATATTGTAACGATTGATTCATCTGGGGCCTGATTCTAAAAGAGTTTAAACCGTTGAAATTAATTTCGATGGCGCTTTGTGACTATATACTTGACTCTCTATAATAATTTTGATATCTCCTTATTCAAATTATCACGGCATTGTCAAGACTAGCATAGCGAATTAAGTACATTGTCACAAGGTGCTATACAAATCAATTTAAATGGTCGAAATTCATTTAGAATCAGGCCCTTGATCTCTTCATGCTACAGGCAGTGTTGCCAGGTATGGTCGATCTGTTTTCAGTGGATTTGTGAGAAAATTTTCTGTACATGGTAGACATAAAACAGAAGCTTGCCGATGATTAAAAATTGCAAAGAGTTGGTTGTGCTCCACTTGGTTTTGAAGATTGACGAGCGGAAGCATAAAGTGCTGACTTGTTACCGGTTAAAACATATTGAATAGCCCAGGGTTGCGGCAAATTCCTGTAACCGAAAAATCCAGAGGAGAGAGCTATTTAAAAATTTTAAGATGACCGCAGGATTGCACCAAATCGAAAATTCAGGAGCGGGGAGGGGGTTAGTCTGGTACAGTGCTTTATTCTTGTGTTCTTGTGTTTCGTTGAATTATATCAAAAATATACTATTTATGTGTTGAATGGTTTTCCGGTACATTTCGCATGGAAGTTGGTAGTTCGGTAGAATAGGACTAAAATGGGTAGATTTACCGAAAAATTATTAGACCTGGTAACACTGGCTACAGCCCAATTCGATCTATTGTCGCAACACACTGCATAGGAATGAAGGAAAGAAAAACTAGACGAACTGTCATCTGGAAGATGGATAATCAAAAATCAATCAAATTAATGAATTGTCATTGTACATGAAAAAGACCTCTATGATGGGCACAACGTCGTGCAATAAACAGAACTAAAACATCTAGTGGTTTGATTCGAGCAGACAATGGACTTATCAATATGTTGTAACATTGGTTAACATATTCCACCAGAAGATACCCAATCCAATTGAATGCTGTGTCTGTCAGAAGATAAGCATACGCAATGTAGTGCTTCGACCATTTATTCTTACATTTATACAGGGTCCCACGTAGAGCTGTAGCAATCGATTGGGCAAGAATTTGAGGGCAATTCGGCTAAAATATTTAAAAAATGGTGGCATTTGTGGTTGTACCGGATGTAGATACCAAGATGCTTATTTTAAATATACTCTGTATATTATTAAATTTCTACGCGAGATTCTAAATACACTCCATGTATAACACCATATACCTAAGTCAGTCTAACCGTTTTTGAGATGCCTATGTCAAATTTTGTATAAAAAATGACAAATGCAGGTCGATATACAACATTATATAAAATTAACCTCAGTTTGAATGCTAGACAGTTATAAAAAATGTGGCTTGTATTTGGAAAAAAATTAATCTTGCCTCGCGATTCATTTCGGCTGGTCGGAGTCCAGATCAGCGAGGACTTGATCTGGCACGAACACATCTCAATAGCAGCAGCTGCTGGGAAAAAGCTATGTCATTTGTTTAGGCCTGAGAAGTACTTTTCTCCATTCACTTCCTCACGCTGTACAAGAAACAGATACTGCCTAGCCTCGAATACTGCTCACGTGTCTTCCCCAATAGTCACTAGACTAGCACTAGCTCTTTTCTACTGCTGTTTCAATGAGCTTGACATCGACCCCTCATCCTAACCGTGTCGTCCCTCATAAACCTAGAACTGGTCGGTACTACCGCTCATTTGTCCATAGGGTATTGAAATTGTCGAATCTACCCAGTTCTACCAACCTTAGGCAGTTCAAGAGTCGGGTTAGCAAAGTTTCTTTAAGCTCGTCATAGCGGCTGCGGTGCCCTGGTCTTTCGGCTTCTGCCTACGCGGCTGCTTCGGTATAAAAAAATATGGCAAGTACATTTTTACGCAGAATTTGTGGTATTTCAAAAACGGTCAGATTTAGATAATATATAATAAAGGGTTGTCCAATAGGGATGCAGGAAAGTAAACGTCAATTTGACATAGACGCCATCTTTGTTTTCTGTCACCAACATGTCATTTTGTTAGTTGAATGTTTACCATTGATCGCTATGGAGTCGTATTCGATTGAAGACCGCATTAAAGTTATTCAAGAGCACTAAAAAAATGGTGCAAAAATAAAAAACACGTTTCGCGGGCTTCGTGAACATTTCGGTCGCAACAATCGCCCAAACTAAACAACCATCGGTCGTCTGGTGCATAAATTCGAGGCAACAGGTTCTGTGGCAAATCTGCCAGACTCTGGCAGGCCAAGGAGCGTTCGCACACCGGAAAATATTGCTGTTGTGAAGGAGAGTGTGAGAGACGATCCGAAACAATCAACAACGCGTCGATCCCAAGAATTGGGCATTTCGAGAAGCAGTTTGCTCCGCATTCTCCACAAGGATTTGAATGTACACGCCTACAAGATCCAATTGACGCAAGAGCTGCGTCGGGCCGACCATTTTTCGCGCCGAACGTTCTCAGATTGGCTCCTTGAACACCGCCAAATTGATGCCAATTTTTCATCAAAAATCATGTTCTGCGACGAAGCGCATTTCACTTTGAAGGGGACAGTAAACAAGCAAAACTGCCGCATCTGGGCGAACGAAAATCCCCGTGACTATCAAGAGCAGCCGATGCATCCTCAAAAAGTGACTGTGTGGTGTGCATTGTGGTCAAAAGGCATCATCGGACCTTACTTTTTCGAAAATGCGGCCGGGGATGCCGTTACCGTCAATTCTGAGCGATATCGCGTGATGATAGAGGACTATTTTTTGCCGCAATTTGAAGGAATGGATATGAACTATGTTTATTTCCAACAAGACGGTGCAACATGCCACACAACCAACGTCAATATCCATCGATTGCAGTCCTTCTTCGGTGATCGCGTGATTTCGCGCAGAGGAAATGTGCCATGGCCATCAAGATCGTGCGATTTGACTCCCTTGGACTTCTTTTTATGGGGATATTTGAAAAGCAAAGTCTACGTCAAGAAACCAGCCACCCTCCAAGAACTCAAAAACAACATCATTGCCGAGATAAATGCCATAGAACCGACCATGTTGCAAAATGTCATTGAAAATTTCGACCATCGCGTTTACGTCTGTAAATCCAGTCGTGGTGAAAATTCGAGCGATATTATTTTTCATACATAAATGGTATAAATGAACCTTCAAAATAAAGTACCCAACTTGATTTGAATATCAATCTTTCTTGTTTTAATATGCGTTTACTTTCCTGCTTCCGTTTTGGACAACCCCATATTTAAAATCTTCTTCCAGTACAACCGAATGTGCCACCATTTTGTTGTTGTATTATAAACCCAAATTTCCATATCTGACATGACCTTTTGAGTAACGGATCACTACAGTTCTACGTGGGGCATCCTGTATAGGTATTGGTTCAAATACAACATACATCACAGATTGTGCATCTTCTTGGAGAATACGTTAATCTATAGTTGTAGTCTGAAACGAAGTCATACTAAGGTTTGACTAGTCAGGGCACGGCTCAGTTACCAACGATTTAGAAATACCATGTTTCTTGTAAGGTCAATTATTTGAAAGCCGTAGTTATCGCCATGAAATGAAAAATCACTTCTACCCACACTTACAGCTATCGAACTTAAGGGCACAGAGTCGCTTTGTTAATGTCGCACAACAAAGCGTAAATTTTCCACTAAATAGACTATTGTTTCATTTAATTTATATTTTATGTTTATATATTATTTATCTACCCAGTAATTAAAGGAATAATAAATGTTGTGGCCCACCCACCTTATTTGAGACCCATTTTCTACCTAAAATTAGGCCCCATGACACTTCACGACTTTTCAGTGGTCATATTTGAATTCAGCCCCAAAAATTAGTTCCATAACATTTCCATGTTCGTGATGAGAAAAATTTCGAAATCCTTGCTTATCTATCATTTGGAGGAAACCTCATTTCCTGGGTATTTCGGGTAAATAAATTGCAACTTCGCTGCTAGGATCGACGAGTGGTCCCAGCAACCTATTTTCCGCTTTAAATTCGGCCTCAAGACACTTCACGTATTTTTGGCCATCATATACGTGAACGGCGCCTCAAATTACCTGTGTTTGTTATTTTAATATTAGAACCTACGGCGGGTTTCAAGCGACCCATTACCTGGTTTATATTGATACTCACACCGATTGGCATGTAGTATTTCGGATTTTTTTTACAAATAGGTATGGTGTATTAATATCAATTTGTATTTGAACAACTCTAAATGCCGCATTTTAAGCTTTATCCGAAAAATCAAATTTTTAAGTTTTTAAATAAATGGAAAGAAGTGGAACTTTCAAAGACTTAAGGTTCCCCCACACCGGCGCGATACAGCGATAGCGGTAGCGTCAGCGTTAAAAATCGCATTTAGCGCGATAGCTGCACGTTCACACCACCGCGGTACGGCAGTTTTCTTATCTGCACGATATTCTCAAACGTTTTTTGATTCCTTAGTCAATATGTCTTCTGATGAAGAAGAAGTATTATCATTATTGGCCTTAGCAGAAGATAAAGGGCGAAAAAGGAGTATTTTGGCGATACTCATTAGTTAATAATAATTAATAATTGTGTTTAAGGAAAAAGAAGAAATGGATACATGATATCACTAGACTAAGAAGAAGATATATGGAGAATATCATACTTTAATGATCGAATTACCTAGAGATCCACATCGTTTTAACGTAGAGTTTCGAACCGTTTGTTTTGATGAAATCTTAAATTTAATGAGATCCCACACTCTATCCTTTTTCCTGCAAATTTTATAGTCTCCGAGACTTAAATCGTACAGTATTGGGTACTTCTTAAGTTGTTCGATTAATTTCTACGTTGTGGACATCGTGAAAAACGTGGCGGTATGCGATACGAACCGCGTCAGCAGCATTTCTGAAACGAAACGCTGTCAAGGCGATAAACCGCGGGCCACCCCACCGCACTGGTGTGATCGGTATTATTTACCGCTCTGAAAACTGAGCACCGCATGGACAGGGTTGCGATTATCGCAACGCTCGGAAAGGTACAGCGTTAAGCACCTTCATTTTGACACAACCCTCATAGCTATAACGTATGTTCTGAAAGTTTTGCCACAAAACATTTATCGGATTTTTGTTTGATGAAGAAATTTATTTATCACACTAACTAGTTATCATAAATTACAACTCAATACTTAACTAGACTATACTATTGAATTATGTGGTGTGGCCCATTCTGCTCTACCAGACGCAACTGTCTTCGAATGTCTGTCATGAGGTGGTGCACGGAATTCAGATCAATTTCTCTCAGTTTTTCGTAAATTCACCGTCTTAGTTGTTCTTGATCTTGGGCTTCCAAGCCTCCATGATCAACCTTCCTAGACAGTAAAGCCCAGAAATCCGCTATTGGGCGAGCCTGTGGTAAATTTCGAGGATATCTGTTTTTGGGGACAAAAGGTATGTTGTGTTGTCGAAGACTCTTGAGTAATGGCATAATGGCCAAAACATGATATGGTCATTAGCACGATGTTCGTGGACAAACTGAAGCAATTTGGAAAGGCAGTTATAAATATTGACTCTGACTATTCAAAGCTTTACCCCTCAGTCCCCCCACAAAAGGTTGGCATACACCCCTGTTAGAAATTACGCACAAAGATTTTATCTGTATATTTCGCTTTATGTTTCTATCTAACATTACGTTGTCAGTATAAAATCCGTCGTTTTCCTTCATTTCAGAATTACTCAAAGTGAAATACTTTTCTTCATCTAAAATAATGATTTTTCCATTGGCAACGTGTACTCGCCTCAGTTGATGACAGTATCTTGGTATACGAAGGAGTGGCGCTTGAGAGTATTTGGGGCACTTAAGTCTCTTTCGATATTTAAGACCATTCCTCTTCAATTCCCACGATATAGTACTCTTAGAAGATCTGTATTGACGAGCCAGTCTCCCTGTTGACATTCTTGTAGATACTTTTTCTTATTTCTAATTTATACGACATCTTAAAGCGTAAACCTCAAAATAAATAAATGTCAACTGACATTGAAGTAAGTACATAAACTTTTGTTTCCAAGGGCAACTTGATATTACTTTGTGCTTCTTAAAATTAAATCCAATGCATTTTGCGCCAAAACTTCCAGGACATACGTTAAATTAATTTTTTCTATGATCTATTAATCATATTCACAGTTTCTTTTCTCTCTACTTAAGGCACCTTTCTCCTTTTGAGTTTCTTTTTCACTTTATGGCATAAATACTGTGTAAACTAAATTATTGCACTATGTTTTGCTCTCTAAATAGTATCTGTACTGTTGGGCAATACATGCTTTATAATTATTTTTAAGAAAACCTTTGTTACTCCGCGATCTGACTAGCCAAACCTAGAAATGCCTACACAAAATATTAAGTCAGGTAGATTGACACGTTTTGTGTTGACATGTGGAAAGTACTGACCTAGTGATACACGAGCAGGAACAGCCCCTTGGTCCAACCAGAACGATACCCATGATACTATTACTAGCATACAGCAGGGTATGTAAATCTGTATTAAGTAGTAACTGAATTCTCTTTTGAAGAGCAAATCTACTTTTAAACAGCTGTATTCACCTACAAGCAAGCGTTACGTCAAGTCTCGATTACACGCAAAGACTGGAAAATTTGATTATCTCACTAGCCGTGCAGACTGCTGTGGCGTTTGGTAAGCGAGTTGACCCCTATGCTCCGCCTCTGAGCATTCACACACGCGTCGCCACTTGAAAGATATGATACAGGGTGCGTTTGATAAGTATCGTCGGGTGGCGCTTCATTCATTGATGTCAGTTGTCAAAAGCAAGAAAGTCTTAGGTCTCAGTGATAAAATCATGAAATTAGTCTCAAGGTGCAGATCCACAATGAGATGTTTTCCTGATATTTTTGTCGCGTGAAATAAAAATCTCATGAAAAGTATTATTCCAGTGTGGAAAAAGGCGTGAGACAATCTCGTAAAACAATGTCTCATCGAGTTTAATCTCTTGTGCAAGTTTCAACGTGTAAATTTGTCCAGCAAATACCGAAAATCAGCAGCAGAGATTCGAAGAAAGTTTTTATAACATTCCTGATCTTCCCGTTCTAATTGTTCTAATAATGTTCCCATCATATCGTTATTTTCTATTTTCTTAATACAATCTCTTACTGAGCATTTGTGAAGCCTTTTGTTTACAATACGGCACTTTTTGTTGGCATCTTCAACCCGCAGTTATTTGATAATGAGATCGATAATTTTACGATGCACTTTTCTCTGTTTCTCTCACGTAGGTACTGTGGAAACAGGTGACCTCAGAGACACACTGTCTCATGAGAGTAAAAATTGCAAGTATCATAGCTCCAGTGCTTCAGAGAAATCCTCATGTTCTGTGGAAACACATCCGAGCTACATTTTTCGTAAGACAAGAAAGGTAAAACATCGACAAGTCTAGCGTTAGTGTTGCAGATGAATGTTGCGGAATTCCTGTTTATAAACAGTAACGATATATTTTTGGAGTTTAAAGATAATCTAATTCATTGTTAGTCTTCAAATATACTAAGTGACATATAAATCCGAACACCCAGTCTAAATGGTTTTATTTTAATAAAAGTCGGTGAATGTATTTATCTTACTGTAAATAACAAGTGAAAAAATTTTCAGCATTATCAGTTACACATTCCGGTTTTTATACTGCTTTTTTTTAATTCACTAACGCTCTAAAAATGAATATTTCAGCCGCAGTAAAGAATCAACGTTGGCGGATTTTGGTTCTTGACATCCTTTACGATCGGTTACGATGCCTAGAGTACGGAGACCTGTACGATTTCGTCAACTTAGTGAGTTTGATAGGGGCCGTATAGCGGGACTTCGGGAAGCTGGACTTTCTTTTCGGGCAATTGCAGTTAGAGTGCAAAGAAGTGTAGACACTGTAGTTAGGTGTTGTCAGGCATGGCTTCGAGAAGGCCGTACGCAAAGAGCAAGGGGCACTGGACGCCGCCGTAGAACAACAGACCGTGAAGATCGCCGCCTAAGATTATTGGCCTTAAGGGACCGTTTCTCCACTACCAGGTCCATTGCAAATGAATGGTTTGCAGAACACGGAAGACCTATTGGCATGCGAAGTGTTTACCGACGAATGAGAAGTTTTGGCTTGTTTTCATACCGGCCACACTGGGTCCTCCCTTTAACTCGAGAACACCGACGTAATCGCCTTGAGTGGTGCAGACAACGGTCACTCTGGGATCAGGAATGGAACAGTATTGTCTTTAGTGACGAGTCGCGATTTTTTTTAGGCATGCACGATGGTCGTGCCAGGGTTAGAAGGTGACGTGGTGAAAGGAGGAATCCACAGTTTTTTGTTGAACGACATGTTCATCACACTGTTGGAGTTATGGTTTGGGGTGCTATAGCTTATGGTTCCAGGTCACCTTTAATCTTCATCAGAGGTAACATGAACGCGCAGCGTTATATCCACGAAGATCTAGAACCCCATCTTTTACCCTATCTTGACACCCTGGCAGATCCAACTTTCCAACAAGATAATGCCCGACCACATGTTGCAAGAGTCACAATAGACTTCTTTCAACATAATGATGTCACATTGTTACCATGGCCACCAAGATCTCCCGACTTATCCCCAATTGAGCACGTGTGGGATATGATGGGTAGGAGATTGCTCAATTTGCAACGTCCTCCTCAGACTCTAGAAGCACTTCGAGAGGAGTTGGTGGTTGCCTGGAATGAGATACCACAGGAGGACATTGACCACCTGATCAGAAGCATGCCTAGGCGCGTTGGAGAATGCGTAGCACATCAGGGTGCATCCACACATTATTAAAGGTCAAAGGGCTTTAAAGCAGTGCAATCATTTTGAAATTTTTATCATTTACTTATTATGCTTCATTAAGTACTTATACAAAATTTTATTAAAATAAAACCATTTAAACTGGGTGTTCGGATTTATATGTCACTTAGTATATGGATTTTATTGGTCAAGATGATATTTTAAAGTTTTAAACGAACTAATCAATAGTAGTTTTCTAGAAGAATTATGCTACGACCAAAAACAAAAACTATTTCCGAGAGATTAATAACTATGGCATTTTTTTAGGAAATTCCGAATGTACAACTTTGAATATTCTGCTTAGAATTGTGCCTGAACTGGAATTCTCCAATAATTTGCGAGTTATTTACCATTTTGAATTACATAAAAAAGACCCTAGATTCCTGTAGTCTCAAAAAACTCAAATTCACTAACGAATATATGCGGCTGGGTAAGCCCTTGAAAATAGTATAGGTGAAGCCACAGCAGTCGTACACGGTTTGTTCGAACTTAGTTTTCATATCTTTACATGAGCGTCCGCAGGACTTTTTCTCAGGGGATCATCGCCAAGAACTTTCTGTGAAAGTGTAATTGCCCCCACAACCTTTCAACGAGAGTCTTGAAAATTCACAAAAATTAAACACAAAATCATGCAAGATATACATGGGGGGGGGAGGAGGAGTTGGCTCGACCCCCCTGGCATCCCCCTGCGGGCGTCCATGTATCCTTGGGCTACAATAGTGAAGTCATATTAAATCTAATACAAGCAGATCAAAAATACGAAAAACAACATTTTTTAAATTGGATATATCACAAAACATCGTAAAAAGGGGTGGGTATATTAGAATTGGCTGAATTGGGGGATGTTGGATAGTGGACAATGTTTGAAATGTTGAAAGTCAGGAATATACCTGGTGTTTCAAATTCGACCCTCACCATTGGGAGCTTGGAATAAAATGCCGCTTAGAAAGTTTCGAGATTCAAAGTACTTCCGAAGAAATCGTTTTAATTTTTCCTTACTTTATTTTTTGTGGGATTTCAAAATAAATCGCACTTTAACGTAGCCACTTTTTCTCCTCTACAATATGGCATAATCGGAATTTCAATATGACGTTTCGCCTATTGTTGGTCATTATCAACTTTATTTTTTCTTACGGACGCCATATTGGATTTTTGGACAGAATAATAGATTTTTTAATCTCATTCCAAAAATGTATAACGTATCATAAATTAAAATTTCCAAACCTTGATGATTTCAAAAAACAGAGTTTCCTAGGTAGACCTTGAAATTATTAATAATCATTTGTTTCGTATACCAGATTTAACGGGTGATTTTTTAAGAGGTATAGGATTTGATTTTCCAAAAAAAAACACAAAAAATTTGAAAAAACGATTAAGTCTTTATTTGAGTCGATAGAACGGTCGATACAATTTAATGTTTAAATATTATTTCATGTAAATGTTGGCCGCGGCTCCGCTTTAGATGGCCCATGCGCAAGGTCCAATTTTGGCACACTCTCTCCAACATATCGGCCGGTATCTCACGAATAAATGCTTCAATATTGGCTTCCAGTGCGTCAATCGTTGCTGGTTTATCCCTGTAGACATTAGCCTTAACATGACCCCACAAGAAATAGTCCAACGGCGTTAAATCACACGATCTAGGCGGCCAATTGACGGGCCCCAAACGTGAGATAAACTGTTCACCGAACTCGCCTCTCAATAGGGGCCATTGTTTCGTGTGCGGTGTGGCATGTTGAAAACCACATGTCAGCCAAGTCCAGCTCTTCCATTTTGGGCAAAAAAAAGTTTGTTATCATCGCCCGGTAGCGCGCGCCATTCACAGTTACGTTCCGGCCATTGTCGTCTTTGAAGAAGTACGGCCCGATGATGCCACCGGCCCATAATCCACACCAAACAGTGATTTTTTCGGGATGCATTGGTAGCCCTTGCAATGCTTCTGGCTGGCCTTCACTCCAGATGCGGCAATTTTGCTTATTAACGTACCCATTCAACCAGAAATGAGCTTCGTCGCTGAACACAATTTTTCGATAAAAATGTGGTTCTTCCTCCAACTTTGCCAGCGCCCATTCACCAAATTGGAAACGTTGTGGTAGGTCGTGTGGCTTCAATTCTTGCACCAGCTGTATCTTATAAGGTTTTACAACCAAATCCTGTCGCAAAATTTTCCACGTAGTGGAGTAACAGAGGCCCAATTGCTGCGAACGGCGGCGAATCGACATTTCACGGTCATCACTAACACTGGCGGATACAGCCGCAATATTTTCTTCAGTCCTCACTCTACGTCTGCGTGTTGGTGGTTCAATGTCCAATAATGTAAACTGGGTTCGAAATTTAGTCACAAGGCCGACCAAATCGCCCATAAATTGGAAGCAGAGCTCGATGCACTGTCTTAACCGAGCATGCATTTTGATAGTAAAATTCAATAATTTGCAAACGTTGTTCGTTCGTAAGTCGACTCATGGTTAAATTATAGACCAAACTGAACAAGTTTGACAATGACACAAGACACGATTCACGCGTCATCTGTCAAAAACAGTGTTGCCAAAAAGGTACTAGCAAAAAAATCACCCATCATCACAAAATCATTGTTATTTTTTTAACCTTATTTGTGATGGGATTACAAAATAAATAGCAAACGACGACACTTTTTCTCTGGAGTAGTCATTTTTAATTCGAGGTTTCTTTCTACTTCCATCACTAACTTTGTTTTTTCATATAGACTCTATTGGAATATTGTACATTTAAATACTTCTAAGTTTGAATTCAGAATCTGACTTCTCTTTTTGTAGAGGAGATAGAGTGGCAATGCTAATATGGAATTTATTTTAAAATCCCATTTCAAATAAAATCAGGAAATAAACAACGATTTTCAGATAAATCCAGTATACGAAACAAATGACTACCATGTCCATGTATGACATGTATGGCGTTCATTAGAAAAAATAAAAAATAAAGTTGATGCTGGGAGACAGGAGTCGAAATGTCATATTGAAATTCTGATTTACTACACAATCTTGTAAAGGAGAAAACGTGGCAATGTTTATGTGCAATTTATTTTACAATGTCACTACAAATAATGTCAGGAAAAAATTACCGATACCTAGATCCGAGTGGAGAGGTTCGAATTTGAAAGACTCGGTATACAAAGAACGGTCAACAAACTGCAAGATTAGTCATATCCACTGTATCTCATTTCAGCGTATGTTTTGTGCGATATTCTTTGAGTTTATATTCATCCACTTGTTGAAATGAATTTCCATATGTAAACTTCATCCATATCTGGATTCCAAGAAACCAGCGACAAATACTAGTTCATTGTCCTGCTATATTTCGATTTCACATGATTATGGGTACTAGCAGGGTTCGAATTTCTTCCCCAAACAATGTTTATCTCGAACTTGAAGGTACCACCCGGCGGATCTCTAAGACGGGGTCAGAATCTGTGCATGTTGCATGCACACGTGTTTCGTCGCTAGAGTCCGTGTGGCGTCCCCCCTTTCCTCTGTATCCCCTTATAGCCCCACGGTAGCCATGGGTTTTTAGGCCTTCGTGGTGGTTCGAGTATAAAAAAATTCAAAATATACCATATCGACAAGTGACACCCAAGTCTGACGGGTCTGTGAACGCTAGTTCTGTAGACAGAGACGTATTTTGTTGTGGTCTTTTGTACGCTACTAATTCATCCTTGCTAACAACGCTTTTATTTAGAAAACCGCCCAAAATATACAGGGTGACTTCGAAGTTGAGTCATTTATTTTAACAGTGAGTAGATCTGATCAAAAGAAATGTTTTTTTCCTTTACCATTTTTCTGGTAAAAGTAAAGTAACAAAGTTATAGCCCTTTGGAAGTTTGAGTACCGCCCTGTCTCAATAATAATATTATGTGCTCGTGTTTATCAACAACGGATATAATCCGCCTATTCGGTTCATCGCATCGGAAACAAAAAAGCGAAAGAATTTGGAACGATGTTTTTACAATTATTTTATTCAGTTGTATACAGTCAGTGTCAGTCGGTAACGCGTGAGTGAATAGTGGTGTCTGTTGCGTGGCTCAAACGAAATAAAAAATGGCACATGTTTATGTTTATGTTTCCCAATCGAGTGCAACCAACCCCTCGTGCCTTTGTTAATGTAGTACAACGGGCTCGTGAATCAGGTGACTTAAGACCTCACAGGGGACGGCATGCCGGTGCTCCAAGACCTCACGATCAAGTACAGGTCCGCACTGAAATACTTGTCGGGAGGATACTTTATAAAACAAGCTAAACATTTTTTTTTAATTTTTTTTTATTTTTACACACATATTTTGGTTTATCTTCCTTCTACAATCATTATCTGAAAATTAATGACTCAACTTCAAAGTCACCATGTATATTCAAATGACCTTTGCCCAATTTGCTTATTCATCCTTCGGGTCTGGACTGTTATGTTCTGGTCTCAGGAGTGTATACGCTATAAATAAAATTGCTGCTAATGCTCATGACTATACTTCAAGTCATGTAGGAATAAAACAGGACTGTTTGGCTTAAAGAGTAGAGTTCGGGCTCAGGAATCGAGACCGGGGGAATCAGTTCCTTCTGCGGTGTCGTTAACGCTCATTAACACCGCTGTTATGTTTTGGAATCGTGTAAATCAGGATCGAAAAGAATCCGAATCGAAAGCAATCGGAATCGAAAAGAATCGGAATTAAAATGAATCGTGATCGAAATGAATTGGAATTAAAGGCAATCGTGATCGAATCAAAAGAATCCGAGACCGGAATCGAAACATTGGAATCGAATCACTGAGAGTGAACAACAAGCAATACGACTACTAGGGAACTACATACTGAAATCTAAAAAAGCAAGAAAAAGCTTTGTTTTCAAGAATATATTAAGACTAACCATATGAGTGTTAAAACAAGCTACTATGAAGGTTCAAATTTTGATTGCTTGTCAGTAGCGACTTACCTGTATTTGTCTTACTATTACAATAATCAGTTAGAAATTTTTCCAGTGTAAACCTAGGTAAATGTAAATTTTTCACTACTTGTACTGGATCACCTTCTTTCCAAAGAAATACAAGATCGTCTGTCGTCCAGCCGTCTGAAAAACACACATTTTAAGATCCTCAAAAACCTCTATGTGACCTGGATGAAATCTTGTTTCCCGATTAAATCGGGTACATGGATTCCAAATCCGATGTCAAGCATATTTCTTAACCCAAAATTGGCCGAAATTCAGTCAAACTTTCTAAAACCCTAAAATTGCATGCTTTTGTCATTTTTGAATAATCAATACATAACAAACTGGTCCAAATATACTGAGTGATAAAAAAATTCTGAATTCCAATAAACATACGCAGGTGTTTACCTTTTTTTTGGTCACTCAGTATATATTCAGAATCACTTTGAATACGGTTTCAGCGACCCAAAATACGTACAAAAGTGGTTATTTGAACCTTATTTAATTTGAAGCATTTTCATTTTTCGTGGTCTTAAGGGTATTACGTTACAAACAAATTGCGTCAAGGGAGATTACTCTGTGCATCAGACCAACTACATGTGCAATGTAGAGTCCGCCTACTTGACTCGTATTTTTAACAGACTGATTAAAATGTCCAAGTTTCTTTTTATTTTTGCATAACAGATAGAGTAACCTGTTGTAGTAGTAGCTGATATAACAAAAAAGTACGACTTAATATTATATAATCGAATCATTGGCGGCGGAGCTAGGGGCAAAAACATTAAAAAAATAGAAATCGCTCAAACTTGGTGAAATTTTATCCTCACTACAGCGCACAAAACATGAACATGAAATGAACAATAACATAATTTGTTACCTAACTATACTAAGTGACATATAAATCCGAACACTCAGTTTAAATGGTTTTATTTTAATAAAATTTTGTATAAGTACTTAATGAAGCATAATAAATAAATGATAAAAATTTCAAAATGATTGCACTGCTTTAAAGCCCTTTGACCTTTAATAATTTGTGGATGCACCCTGATGTGCTACGCATTCTCCAACGCGCCTAGGCATGCTTCTGATCAGGTGGTCAATGTCCTCCTGTGGTATCTCATTCCAGGCAACCACCAACTCCTCTCGAAGTGCTTCTAGAGTCTGAGGAGGACGTTGCAAATTGAGCAATCTCCTACCCATCATATCCCACACGTGCTCAATTGGGGATAAGTCGGGAGATCTTGGTGGCCATGGTAACAACGTGACATCATTATGTTGAAAGAAGTCTATTGTGACTCTTGCAACATGTGGTCGGGCATTATCTTGTTGGGAAGTTGGATCTGCCAGGGTGTCAAGATAAGGTAAAAGATGGGGTTCTAGAACGCTGCGCGTTCATGTTACCGCTGATGAAGATTAAAGGTGACCTGGAACCATAAGCTATTGCACCCCAAACCATAACTCCAACAGCGTGATGAACATGTCTTTCAACAAAAAACTGTGGATTCCTCCTTTCACCACGTCACCTTCTAGCCCTGGCACGACCATCGTGCATGCCTAAACAAAATCGAGACTCGTCACTAAAGACAATACTGTTCCATTCCTGATCCCAGAGTGACCGTTGTCTGCACCACTCAAGGCGATTACGTCGGTGTTCTCGAGTTAAAGGGAGGACCCAGTGTGGCCGGTATGAAAACAAGCCAAAACTTCTCATTCGTCGGTAAACACTTCGCATGCCAATAGGTCTTACGTGTTCTGCAAACCATTCATTTGCAATGGACTTGGTAGTGGAGAAACGGTCCCTTAAGGCCAATAATCTCAGGCGGCGATCTTCACGGTCTGTTGTTCTACGGCGGCGTCCAGTGCCCCTTGCTCTTTGCGTACGGCCTTCTCCAAGCCATGCCTGACAACACCTAATCACAGTGTCTACACTGCTTTGCACTCTAACTGCAATTGCGCGAAAAGAAAGTCCAGCTTCCCGAAGTCACACTATACGGCCCCTATCAAACTCACTAAGTTGACGAAATCGTACAGGTCTTCCGTACTCTAGGCATCGTAACCGATCGTAAAGGATGTCAAGAACCAAAATCCGCCAACGTTGATTCTTTACTGCGGCTGAAATATTCATTTTTAGAGCGTTAGTGAATTAAAAAAAAGCAGTATAAAAACCGGAATGTCCAACTGATAAGGCTGAAAATTTGTTCACTTGTTATGTACAGTAAGATAAATACATTCACCAACTTTTATTAAAATAAAACCATTTAAACTGGGTGTTCGGATTTATATGTCGCTTAGTATATTTATGTGATAGATTGAAAGTCTTTAGCGATGTACATGGTTATCATACAAGAAATCGTACAGATTTTATTTTTTACACTTTTTATTAATTTTTTTGCATATAACAGTACAATGATTTTTTTCTATTTCTATTATTGTAATAAGGCAAACGTGTACTTATATGTAGCTCTTATGCTAAATAAATGCTTTATTATTATTATTATAACCCGATGCAGCGGCACTGCGGTGGGCGCTGCTGCGCAGATGTGAAAAGGGACAACGTTGCCAGATGGACGGTAACTACCGGTAGGGCGGGAAAATAATGTCTATGAATTAATTGATGGGCCGGTTTGACTGACTTGATTCATTTAGTTTCTCTGTTCTACATGTGCGTAAGTGACTTTTATCTGAGAGGGTTAAAATTGCGCTGAGCTTGATCGTTTACGAACTGAAGACACCGTTGCGTAGGATTTTTGTTTGGGTCGTTGAAACCGAAGCCAAAACCTGTTTGTCATGCAATGTCTCCATTTTAACGTTCACACTACGACAACTGAACTGGCTGAAAATATTTTGCAGTGCAAGGGACAGTCTTTGAATTATATCTCGTGTTGACAACTGTCCAAAGCCCATTTTTAAGCTAAAAATATTATCATGATGAAAAATTTAATAGTCGTCTGCTTACTATGAAAATAAACCGTACGAGTCATACACAAGTTGGATTAATTTAGTATATTAAATATAGAATTAACATACAACATTTTTACCTTCTACAAAAAAATAAATAAATAAAGTTTAGATACTTACAGCTGGCCATCCGTAAGGAACAAATTTGTCGATCCAATGGATATAGTTTTAAATTCATTGGACATGATAGAGTGAGCGAGATTCTAAAACAATACCATCAAAATATTATTCAAGTTCACCATATATTTAAAAAAAGATTGATTTGGGGTCAGTAAACAAGAAAAAAAATTAATAAAAAGCAGCCGCAATATTTCTAGGGTTCAGTGGCAAACAAAATTGAACACACAGTAAAACTGATTTTATTAGAATGAAATTGTGGTTCAGTTCACCATAATCGTGATTAAATTTTGACACATGAATGTCGTGCTTGTCTAGTCAGTAAAACCACGTCTACTGGCAGATCTTCTTTACTGTAGTAAACGTGTCAATCACATAGGTTTTCTTCAGTACAATGACATACTCGTATATGTGTCAAATCACGACTTCCTTTTGCTTATATCTAAACTGCATACACAATTTCATTCAAATAAAATCATTTCTACTGGGTGTCCTATTTTGTTTGTCACTGAGTATCCCTCCCAGGTGGATAAAGGTATCGATTGTGCATGTAACGTGCACAACATTACAACACAAACAAAAACAAACTACACCAGTGGCGTAGACACTGGATTATTTTCGCCTCTACAAACGTAGCAAGAAAAATATTTTCTTGATATTTTTTAAACATGTATTGAATTTTTGAAATGGCTATTTAGTTTCACATGGATAATGGACTAAATATTCGGGGTAAACTCCATGTAAAAAAGTACTTTGAGAATATGCTAGTAGAAGTCCGAAATTGAAGTGTATGTATACGTATGTATTAATGTAGCATTTGAAGTATACACGTACCTGATACTATACAATACTGATCCGTAAGGGAAGATACGTATATAAACGTTTGGCATGATAATGTTGTGGAAGTGTCCTTCCTTCTCATTTGAGAAAAACAAATCGGGCATCCAGACCCGATTTGCTTCTGTGAGCGTGAGGTATTTCAGTCTTCCACCAAAGTCATTGAACTTCAGCCGTTCATCAAGCCATTGCTCTCTAAAGGTTAACTGTACACTGTATTCCTAGAAATAATATACCCTCACTTTTTCCATATTCACGTACCCCTCCTACAGTGCTTTTCAAAAGGTCCCCAGCTTATTTTTTGAGCGGGTTAGTGTGGCAAGCTGCAATTCTGGGAGGTCAAATTGATATTTTACATACGCGATCGGCTATGGCGGCTGGCGTGCACCGCCGTTTACAGCGTCAAGCAGCGGTAAATCGACGCGTACTCCGTACAGGTTCGACCTTATCGGTTCTTTCCGTTAATGGATTTCCAATAGTCCCGAACAGCAGCTCATATCATTAACTTGTATGGATGATTGTATATAATGTCTGACAGTCAGAAATTGCTCTTTTTAAATGAGGAAATAATTTAGTAAAATGATCGACACGCAACCCGCGGGAGATATTGTGAAATGCACGCGGCACAATACATCAATAACATATTTAGATGTGCTTACTATGTAATCCTATCGTCATATGGCCTGAATTGTGTCAATGTGAAATATCAACATTTTCACAAAAACTCTCCGTGTCATATTCTGATAATCTGATAGCTTATTTAGGCATAGTTAGACGCGTCACTATCTTCACGGAAAATTGCTATATGCTTTTTGATGACGCCATCTTGTTTATAGCCACACAATTTTGTGAAACGACCAAGTGTAACCAAGTAGGTTATCTCAGAAGCTTTATTTATATGTAAGCCTTTTCCATAAGTTACTGCTATAGTAAAATACCAAATTATTTAAGATATTTAGCTTAATTTGAATATTATTTTCCAGTTTGCTGATAAACTACTTTCCAGTTTCATTATAACACCCTGTATTGTGGGGCGATTTTACATACGCGATCGGCTATGGCGGCTGGCGTGCACCGCCGTTTACAGCGTCAAGCAGCGGTAAATCGACGCGTACTCCGTACAGGTTCGACCTTATCGGTTCTTTCCGTTAATGGATTTCCAATAGTCCCGAACAGCAGCTCATATCATTAACTTGTATGGATGATTGTATATAATGTCTGATAGTCAGAAATTGCTTTTTTTAAATCAGGAAATAATTTAGTAAAATGATCGACACGCAACCCGCGGGAGATATTGTGGAATGCACGACGCGGCACAATACATCAATAACATATTTAGATGTGCTTACTATGTAATCCTATCGTCATATGGCCTGAATTGTGTCAATGTGAAATATCAACATTTTCACAAAAACTCTCCGTGTCATATTCTGATAATCTGATAGCTTATTTAGGCATAGTTAGACGCGTCACTATCTTCACGGAAAATTGCTATATGCTTTTTGATGACGCCATCTTGTTTATAGCCACACAATTTTGTGAAACGACCAAGTGTAACCAAGTAGGTTATCTCAGAAGCTTTATTTATATGTAAGCCTTTTCCATAAGTTACTGCTATAGTAAAATACCAAATTATTTAAGATATTTAGCTTAATTTGAATATTATTTTCCAGTTTGCTGATAAAACTACTTTCCAGTTTCATTATAACACCCTGTATTGTGGGGCGATTATCTTCCAAACCACTCTCTTATGAAGATCAATAAACAAAGATCTAGATAATTTTACGGATATTATTTTTTATCCTGTACATATTTACCCTAGGGCTCATATTCTCAATTTATCGCATGAAATTCAGGTTATCACACATTTTTTCCATAAAAACGGCCGTTTTTTGTTTTTTCAGTAAACCTATCATGGCCTCACTCAAAGTTATTTAAGAGCATCCTAACAAACTCACTCCGCAGCTGGACCTGTTCAGAAAAATAAGTGGAGGTGAACCCCTATGAAAAGCACTGCAGGGCCCTATACAGACTCTCATCGAGAAACCTCCAGAACATTCGAAAACTGTGTTTCTCAGCATCAAAAAGTCGTCCCCTCACAGTCGTCCAACGCTATACCGTGCGAATAATTTTCGGTTGAGGTCGGCTGGATTTCAATGTGTATGAGAGAGAGAAACATGCGCTACTGGGCTGACACTATTCCTCGAGAGCTGCATCAAATAAATGCCTTTGCATTAACTTAAAGTTATAGTGTATGAAACACTTCTCAGAGCGCCTTATCTCGATTAGGGGCGATTTGGAGTGGCCAGCCCGCTCCCTTAAGATTTAAGATTTGAAGACCAACGCCCAGGAAGAAATTGCCAGCATAATGCCTGCTATGATGGCAAGAGTCATGACAAACGCCAAGGATCTGCAAAGCCGTGTAAAAGAAAAGTTCAAGCATGCACATACATAACAAAAAACAAATAAAAACGATCTAATTCAATCAAGCTAGGTTGTGGCACCCTGTATATGCATACGAGACATTGACATGGGTATTCTGGGTCGGCCTGTAAAACGCTGTTACGTGGTGCTGGAAAAGATCCTAGCATGATACAGTGTAATGAGCAAAGATCTGTTTAGCTCGAAAACTTGGGGAAAAGTATGCGTGAGTCTGCAGGCCAATTAGATGTAGGTATGTATTTGAGTGAGCCTGTATAATCTCGCATTCAAATTCAGAATTATCTACTCAACTTACCATTTTGATGTCACTTATTGTAGCAATACTGCGTACGAACAGATTCACCTGTACGATAGCAGGGCCATCTGAAAGCAGTTGGAAGTCAAATGTCACGATGTTGAGAGTTGGAATTGATTTCTATCGAGATATCTTAAAAGGGTCATTAGCCAAATTATTATTAGATAAAAAGGGTGGAGAACATGGAAACACTTTTTTCCTCCCAATAAGTAAATAATGGTGATAGAAAAAAGTCTAAATAAACAGTGGATGCTTGTATTTGTGTAGAGCTTTTAAGCTTGCTGGGCGTAGAATTGACACTGCCATTCAACCCTTTAGCCAACTTTGGATGTTACTGATAATTATTGTTTCCTATGAGTGAATACACAGTCTATTTTACTAATTGTATTTATTTATCCATTATTTTGTCAGCCTGAAAGTCCCATGCTACTTGATAAATTGGAGAATTTGAAAATGACTGGAAAACGAACGATGTGTCGACGTACATAGTATCGTCTATCTTTGTAGGACTCTATCTCAGGCTTTATTCTGATGTTAAGGATATTCTCAGATATGCTACATCTAAATGTCTAATCAAAATAAGTGTGGTCATATGTGGTTTATTTGAAAACTTCAAACCATGGATTTATAGAAAACTACTAATTAAAAGAAAGAACGCCGAGACACTTCAAGGGGGACAACTTTTCAAACAAAAACGACATCACCCCCTTTCACCATCGACCGCCCAGGGTCGTTCCCTTAAAAATTTCAAATGACAAGGGGTATCGAATAACAGCTTGTTTGAAAGGTCTTTCGAAGTCCTTTATTTTGAGGTTTGAGTTTTTAAAATCAGATAGTTCGTTTTCGAGAAAATTAGAAAAATCTTTATTTATTCGTATTTGCGCAATAATACCCAGAAGGTGAAAACACGTAAAGGAGTTTCTTCGGCAAAGAGTGTGGCATCTGGCGTACCTCAAGGCTCTGTGTTGGGACCATTACTCTATTTAGTTTATACCTTTGATCTACATACTTGCCTTCAGCACTGTAATATTCAAACGTATGCAGATGACACGCAGCTAACTATGTGTTTTGATTCTTCGGACATGCATGTTCTTCCGGTTCGGCAATGGCTAGACGACGAGTTTCCAGATAAATGGTTAGGGCGAAGAGGGCCTATAGAATGACCTGCTAGATCTCCTGATTTGACATTACTAGACTTTTTTCATGGGGCCATTTGAAATCTATTGTGTTTACGCCCCATCCAGAAAGTTTGGATGAACGTCGTCAACGAATCATCGAAAGTTACCCTGATATCCCACAACATGTTTTGGAAAATGTCCGTCAGGAATTTGAACATCGCCTATACCATTGTTTGGCCAATCACGGGCAACATTTTGAACACTTATTGAAAAAAGTGTTATTTTCGTGTGTTTTTGTTTTCAATCTGAACAAGTTAAGATAAATAAAGATTTTTCTAATTTTCTTGAAAACGAATCGATCGATTTTACAAAATCAAACGCTTAAAATACGGACTTCAAGAGACCTTTCAAACAAGCTATTATTCAATACCTCTTGTCATTTTAAATTTTTAAGGGGATGACCCTGGGGTGAAGAGGGTGAAGTAGTTTTTGGTTAAAGAGGTGTCCCCCTTGACAAATCTTTTAACGTGTCTCGGCGTTTTTTCTTTTGATCAGTTTTCGATAAATCCGTGGTTTGAAGTTTTCAAATGAATGCTAGTGGAAGAATTTATAAATATCTCGGTGGCTAGTATTGGCATACTTCTCCACCTGGTATGTAACGAACAATTTTTTAATAAGACTAACCTGTTCCGTTTACCCCAGAAGGCCTTATCCGAGCGTCGTATCGTCCAGGTCCTAAAATTTGGTCCAGAACTTCTTTTTCCTTTTCTCGAAAATTGATTTTTCCATTTGTACAGCTGTAACATGATATTAGTGTCAATGTTAGGTATCGAAAAGAGACAAATATCTCTTTTCCATTGAACACCCGAAACTGAAAAAACTCCTCGGTAGATTGTTTCACAATCTCGACACCCTAGGAACAAAGGAGCGATCGTTCCTTTCTAGTTCTCGATATTTGAAGTTTGACACTGCGAGGATGGGAGGCCGAAGTCAGGCGGGTGTGTTTTGCAGGCTCAATGCGCGGCGGCATCATGGAGGAGAGATCTGAGGTGCAAAGCCCATTGGTGTAGTGGTAGAAGAGAGCTAGATCGCATACGCAAACAAATAGCTTGTTTGTTTTTTCGATGTTTTAAAAAGTAAAACACATGGAATGACAAAATTTATAGACCACTCGGCGTCTCATATTGTATCCTTCAGTATGTCTATGGGTAGGGATGCTATCACCTAAATTACCGACATTGGAGCTTTTGAGCTTTAAAAACTCCGGACATTTAGGTGAAATAAATATTTTTCCAAGGACACCACAGAATTGTTTTTAAAAATAAGAATGAAACGGACTCTGGCGAGGGAACACGTGTGCATGCAACATGCACACATTCTGGCTCCGCCTACGAGATCCGCCGGGTGGTACCTACGCGTTCGACAGTCAGAGACCATCTACCACCTACGAACAATCACAACAGCCATAGCCAAGAGAAAAATTTCTCCTGGGACGGGACTCGAACCCGCACAGCGCACGGCGACTGATCAGGAGACCGAAGAGTCTACTACTGCGGCCACCGCTGCAGCCTGAACTACACATTTTTCTATCTAATAGGCCTAGGATTACCTAACAGACGCCACAAAAGATGTACCTACTACATTACATCTGGAAAACGTTCTTTCATTTGTTTTTTGACTGACTTGAATGAAAAAATGTGCTCCTTTTCCATGTCCATATGAATTTTCAAATGATCGTGATAGACTTTGTGTCAAGACATTGAGATCCAAACAGAAACAAAAATATCAAGCATAGTGAAGTAGATATGATTTGTGGAACTTCTACCAAACATTTTTTTGAAGCTGGGTACGCCCTCAATGCACGCCTATTTGTGTCTGATGAAGCCAATAAGCTACTACTGTTCCTTCATTGCGGACATGCCCACGATTGTCCTTGGTTGTTCATCTGCAAGATTAATTGTCTTTCTTTTTTTTTACAAATGAAATACTAAAGTATTTACTAATAAAGTTATACTCTCCTCTTTCTGATGTAATCTGGTAAAAGAAATAATTAGGTACACTTTTCTTCTTGGCAATAAATTAAAAACATTATAATTATAGTTTTCGGTTCTGTAAATAATAAAATAAGCTGCAAACATACAACATAGTATGACACAAATTATAGGTTAGATAGGTTAGGTACCCAAAGCCCTTAACTATTCATTAATTATAAAGCATTTTACTTCTTTTGGTATTGTCTTTCTTTTCCAATAGGAATTTATAAAAGCCAGGGCAGCTAAGGTCCTTGAAATTAATTTTTGATCAGAGTAGAAATCGTGTGTGCGTTTTTCTCCTTTGTTCATGAAACCAGTGATCGATCACTACTTCACCAGGTTGGAATCTGGGCCAAATGAAACTAAATCGCACCAGGTTGTCTGTCTGTGCACGCGCACTGCTATGGCGTCACCTGGCTGGTTATACAGGGCAGTGTGAATGTGCTTGTACAGGGTGATGCGAATTGTTGTACAGGAGGATACAACAAAATATTTTTGGATCATGCGAATTATAAAGTGTCCGGGGAATAATAATAATAATAATAATATTTATTTACTCAATGTACAAAGATAACAAACAATATGAGTAAATAAATATAAAATCAAAACAGGCCCAATAGACATGGACCAATAATTTAAGTTGAAACTGTAGAATGCAAATGACAAAAAAGGAAAAAAATTAGCTACAGTAGATTATGTATTTAGTTGATGTTCGTATTTATGAGTTTATGAATTTCAGTCCTAGATATAGAATGTAGCCACTTTTTTAAATTTCTTTTGAAACAATTTCCGAAACGTAAATCTTTTAAGTCTTTAGGTATAATTTCATAACATTTAGGCGCTAAATAGAGATATGATCGCTGCATTATAGATTTATGCAGTTGAGGAACTACTGTGCCACGAATTTTGTACCTGGTATAATGATTATGTTTAATTTTTTGGTCGGTGTTTACAAATTTATGGTAGTGAGTGATACTGTGTAAGAAATAAAGCTGTCTTATATCATACATTCGAACATCTGCATATAATTTTTCAGTGGGATAAAGTTTCGGTTTTTTAAATATCATTTTTAGAATACTTTTTTGAAAAACATCTAAATTATAGATATGTCAGGAACATGCAGCTCCCCATGCTAATATACCATATGTGAGATGAGGCTCAATCAGTGCATGGTATAATGTTTGAAGATATTTTTCTGTCAATATATTCCCAAGGTATTTAATTTTGTAGGATACAAATCTAACTTTCTTTAAAATATAATTGACATGGATGTCCCATCGTAAGTGAGGATCCAAGACCACTCCAAGTTATTTTATGTTGGGCACTCTATTAATTTGCATTTTTTGATCATTAATATTGAAGGAGAAATTTGTGTAATTTGGCAGATGTCTAGCATAAGATCCAAATGGTAAAAAATGTGTTTTAGAGTAGTTAATGCTTAATTTTCTACTGTTAAACCACCGAATAATTTTGATAAAATCATTTTCAATTACATTTTTCAGATCAGACCAGTCAGTGCCTTCATATAATATTGCAGTATCATCTGCAAAACTAGTTATTTTGCCAACACAATTAATTTGGAAAATATCATTTAAATATATATTGAATAATAGCGGACCTAAGACAGTTCCTTGTGGGACACCACACTTAATATACATTTCTTTACTAAATGATCCTGATATCTGCACAGATTGTGGGCGATTTGACAAATAACTTTAGATCAGTGAGTATGCGTTTCCTCTGAAACCAATTCTCTCCAATGCTTCTAATAATAATTTGTGATTAACTGTGTCGAAAGCTTTCTTTAAATCAACAAAAATGCAGATTGAAGGGATTCTGTTATCAATATTTTGATATATTTGATTTAAAATTTTAGTTATTGCGTCCGATGTAGCCTTCCCTTCTGTAAATCCATAT